TTCCGACACCGTGCTTCGCAAGACGAAAAGAACCGCAAGACGAAAAAACTCGCGGAACGAATTAATTTCATCTTGCAAGGCACCACTGTATATGTGAGTTTTGTACATGTATATGTGAGTTTTGTACATGTATATGTGAGTTTTGTACATGTATATGTGAGTTTTGTACATGTATATGTGAGTTTTGTACATGTATATGTGAGTTTTGTAGAATAAACTACATGGTTTGTTTCAATTAATTTACACAAGGTTGTGTGTAATGAAATAAAATCTGGGACATTGGCCTGGCTCAGCGTGAGGAAGCGTCCTTCCCGTTGCCTAATCCTGCTCTTCTCTTCAGGACTGGTGGCTCAGGAACGCACAACTAGCCAAGGAGAAAGGGAGGTGATCAACTGCTTCATGGCATTCAGTGGAGGCTGGTGGAGAACCATCCAGCCACTGATCACAAGCTCTCCACTCTGTTTGCAGACAGCTCTGGTGAAGGAATGTGCAGAGCAATGATCCCTGGCTGGGCTTTCTTCGAGGAGGCTTGAAGGAACAACGTTAGTGGTGCAGGCAAGGGAGGGTGCACACCGTGAAGGAGGTGCCCATAAGCCCCACCTTGTGTGGTGCTGGACTAAGAGAAGAAAGGTGTCGCTGGCAGTAGGTACAATGGGCACAGATCTGGATTCGAATCCAGTCAAACTTGTGAGCTCCCTGCCAGGCTGTGCTCCCCACCATCCTACCTCAGCCTCAGTTTCCCCTGCTTGCAACGTAGCTTAGCAGCCTCCTTCCGAGAGCTTTTCGGTGCAGAAAGCAATCAGATCTATAATGTGCTTTATGTGCCAGCTCCTTCTGCTTGCTGCCTCCCCTGACAGCTCAATAACTGTATATGCTCATAATCTTAACACTTTCCTTCTACTTCATAGGGTGGTGGTTTGTTTTTTTCTTACAGGGTTTCAAGATGAAGAGATAACTCAGACAGTCTGCAGTCCAGAGCAGTGGTTCTCAAAGCGGCTGGTGCTGTTCCCTGGGGCATGACAGTGGGATTACGGGAGGGGGGGCACAAAGGGGGACGTGGGCGGCAGGGGGACACTGGACGTTGATCAAGTTTATCAGTTTATTGGATTAATTAAGTTAAATAAATTGGATTAATTAAGCTAAATAGTTTTAATTGGATTTTGAATTAATGTGCAATTAATAATTGCACTTCTGAATTTTATTGCGTTATTATCTTCCTTAGTGGGTCATGCAAACCCATTGTTTTTATTCTTTTTTTATTGCACGTTTTGAGTGTTTATCTTGTATTTTTATGCTGTGAACCAGTGGTACCTGTGGGTTAAGTGGGTTAAGTAACCAGTGGGTTAAGTACTTAATTCGTTCCGGAGGTCCGTACTTAACCTGAAACTGTTCTTAACCTGAGGTACCACTTTAGCTAATGCTGCCACGCCACAGGAGCACGATTTCTGTTCTCATCCTGAAGCAAAGTTCTGAAGCACTATTTCTGGGTTAGCGGAGTCTGTAACCTGAAGCGTCTGTAACCCGAGGTACCACTGTATATAAAACAATAACAAACAATAATACAAACCACTATTATGAATAATGCATTTTATAGGGTAGGGTGGGAGGCACTGGAGATCAGTTTATGGAACCAAGGGGGCAGTGCCCCCCCCAAAAAGGTTTTGGAAAGCACTGCCTTAAAACGTGAAGCAAAACAACACCCCCCCCAATGCTCCACTGGGCTCTGGTCAAGCATGCAACATGCACAGCTCTGCCCCCACCCTCAATGGAAGGGAATGGGGGGGGGAGGCTGCTAAGGGGAAATGGCCAAGGGAACTTCTATTGCTGCCCCAAGCCCACTCCTGCCTAGAATCTGCCACCTGAGGCAGCCATGCCACTTTGACCAACAGTAGGGACGGTCCTGTGAGGCGTGCTAGCAGGGAGGACATGGCAGGCTCCGGTTCCATTATTCCCCTCTTGTGGAGATGGCTCCCCTCCGCTCTCCCCCGCAGCCCATGTTGTTTTCACCTGCAAGACTCGTGATGTGTTGCCAGGGACGGTCTCAGTGATGCAAGCCCAAAGTGTTGTTGCAGCAGTCAGCTGGCTGGCTGGGAAAGCCTTGGGGGCTGCGGGGAGAAGAGCAGCAGCAGCAGCGGCGGCGTCAGAGTATTTCTGGAGCTGGCCACCTCGAGGGAGGAAGAGCAATATGGAAAAGAGCCAGGGAAACACGCCGTGAGGCAGAGAGCAGGTGGCACTAATACGGGGAGAGAGCGCTGAAGACTGTACTACGGCTTAGAAATCAGAGGCAGTGCAGATTGGGCGCAAAGGGGAGGCGGTTGAAGAGAAAGCCTGGAAGGGGGCCGGGAGCAGGACTCAGTTCTCTGGCTTTTTGTTCTCTTTAACCACCAGGGCCAACCCAAGACATCTTACTGCCCGAGGCACAGGACAAGATGGTGCCTCCACCACCACCACCCGCCATTTACCAGGCCGGCAATCAAATCCTACTTGAACGCTGGCAGGGCAGAAGCACCCTCCACTCCACCTGAAGAGGCTAGCTTAGGGGGCGCCAGGCAGACCATGCGATGGCACGCACAGCTCCCTCTGGTCCTGGCTGCCCCATATCAGCTTTTGGCTGTGGCAGCTGCCACCCTCTGCCTCATGGTAGGGCCGTTCCTTCCTGCGGAGGCGATTTCTCTCCCGGGGAAATCCCAGAGCTGCTCTCCTCCTGGCTACTTTATCATTACCAGTGAAGATCCACCTCCATCCATTGCTGATGGGATGCTGAGGGCTGAACAGGATGTGGAAATAGTCCTTTCTGTCCAAAGGGATGTTCAGCATACAGCTACACGGGCCGGCAGGAAGCCTGGGGAAGGAAGGCAAGCCGCAAGTAAGGCCACCCCTCCCCACACATTGAAGCCCCTATGATGCCACTTTGAACAATCACAGCTTCCCCCAAATAATTCTGGGAACTGTCATTTGTTTGGGTGCTGACAGCTGCTGAGAGACCCCCGTTCCCCTCACAGAGCTACAATTCCAGAGTGCTTTTAACAATCGCACCCTCTTCCCAGAGGAACTCTGTGAACCATGGCTCTGTGAAGGGAAGGGGGGGGCTCCTAACACCTCCCAGTTCCCATAATGCTTTGGGAAACCATAACTGCTTAAAGTGGCATCACAAGGATTTAAAGGTGTGGTTTGAATGTGGCCTGACTCTGCCCAGAGTGGAGGGAGAACTGCAGGGCAGTGGCGGCAGGTGATTGGCGTGGCAGGAGAGGATGGAGAGGATGGAGAGTGTAAGTGGGAAAGTTCAAGGACAACCAAGGAAGCATTTCAGCATAGAATGGTAGTATCCCTACCTCTCTTCAAGGGCCTTGGCTAAAGGTGGCCAAGAGACTGATGTGGATGAATTGGAAAAAACAAAGATAGGATGATACCCTTTAATCAACAGGCGCAGACTTTGCTTGGATAATATTTGGAAGGACTTTATATAAAAAAGTAGTCAGCTGTTAACATTTGCATAAGTATTAGGATAATGACACTATACCAATTTATATAAGACTGTATGGGAATATCGTGTAATGCATTTTTGCGCATAGACACACACACACACTTTTCAATATGTATGTTTGTTGTTTTCCCCTCCCTCTTTTCCTTCTTTTTTCTGTATCACTTAATTTCTTTTAATTGGAATCACTTTAATAAAATATAAATAAATAAATAAGAGCCTTGGCTATTCTTCTACAATTCTCAACGACATATTGTTGTGACCAGGGCTTTTCAACTCTGACAAATGTGAAATATCAGAAAAGCGAAAGGCTTCTTTGTGTTGATGAAGGGAGGAGAGTTTGTTTGTCTAAAATTAGACCTAATATAACCCTCCTCACAACAGTGTTGTTTTGGGGATTAAACAAGGAGGGGAGAACCATGCAGCCCACCTTCAGCTTCTGGGAGAGAAAGTGGGACATAAATGCAACTAATAAGTGATCCTTGGCATGGCAAAAGGGATGACCACACAAGAGGGTCCCTGTTTCCATCTGGGAAATGGTACAGAAACTGCTGCAGGGGGAGTGTGGAGGTCCACAGGAACCTGACTCAAACACAGAGTTGGGACACTGGCTCATCTAGCTCAGAAGCACAGTCACCATCATTCCTGACCCCCTTGGCCATGGGAGCTGGAGTCCAGCAACATCAGGAGGGCACCCATAGGCATGGTCAGCCTTGCAACTTTCTCTGCATGGCAGGCAAAAAATTTTTTGCTCATCCAAAAGCCTTTCCCACTGGGGAGAACTGACCTATTTCCTGAACTTGGCTCATGGCCCTGCCATGTTTATTCGGGGTGTGTATGTGAAAAGGTCGTGTGTCTGAACAGAAAAAGAGCCCTGCTTGTTCAGGCCCATGTCCCATCCAGTCCAGCATCCTGTTCTCACAGTGTCCAACCAGATGCCCTAATGGGCAACCATCAGGCAGGATCTGACCACATGAGCCCTCTCCTCTTCTGTGGTTTCCAGCAGCTAGTGTTCAGAAGCATCACTGCCTCTGACAGTGGAAGTAGTACACAGCCGGCTGTATTTTGAAAGAAGCCATTTGATGGACCATCATCAAGGCCGTTATATACTCCTCCATATAGCCACCCAGTTGGCCTTGCCAATGGGAGGTCTTGAAAGGGATCCATCCTTCCTCCACTCCTTCCTCCCTGCCAACCTACAGGCATTTGCACACACACACACACACACACACACTCGCACAAATGTAGCCTTCGCCAGCCTGATGCCCTCCAGATGTTTTGAACTACAACTGCCAGGCTGATGAGAGTTGAAATCCAAAACATCTGGAGGACACCATGTTATGGAAAGCTCTCTTAATGGGCCCGGCATCTAAGGCTGGGGCTCCTGGTATTCACAACAGTAACCAACATGAACCAGTTTCCTTTAAGTGGTTTTATTACTGGTTAGATTTTTACAAATTCTGATAGCTGAACAGACTTTTCACTTTTAAAATTCTAAAACATCAGAACAATCAATGAAGGGCTTAGGACTAATTCAAAGTAACAAAACTCTTATTAACATTTTTTTTTCATTTATTTTTTCTTCTTCTTCTTTGTGTTTGTTTGTTCTTTGCCCTGGTCATAAATACACAGAGAGGAAAAAGGGAGATGGGCGTGGGTGGGGGGAATGGGTGTGATCCAAAGGATGGGAGAACAGTATATAAGGCACATGGCAGTCTTTGAAAATTACAGAAGCTTTAGCCAACTTAAATTAATTGCTGTTTCCCTCGCCCAGTCCACAAAACTGTACATTGACACAAATGTTGTGTGGCAAGTTGCTCTTCCAAGTGAATCCTCCGTCCGCCCTGTGACCGTCACACCAGACCGAACCGTGCTGCTGTTCTCCTTCTCCTCAGAAATACCCTACGCTGTGGCTAGCCCAGCTGTGAGAAAGTCTCTAGTAAAAATACGCTTGGAACTCAACTAAGAGTAATTTCTTTTTCAAAGGAAAAAAAGAAGAAGGGAGGGATGAAGGAAGGGAGAGAGTCATCAGAAAAGATTTGTGAGCGTTGTCTGTGAAGGGCTCCGAGATTCGTGGACCTCCAAGCCCCCAGGCACTGAGGTCAAGACCGAGGTGACTGATGGCATACTGGGGTTTGTCAAGTCCGTTAAGGTAGTGGGGGTGCTGGACGGGCTCATGGAGGTGTTGGAGATTTCGGAGGCAGGGCCCGAGGGCGTTCCGGCCTGGAGGGTCGAGTCAGACGTCTTGTCCACCCCTGTGTTCTCTTGGCGTAAGAGGTTCCGTCTGAATTTAGCACGTGCATTTTGGAACCAGACCTACAACCAGTCAACAGGAGGGTGGGGGTGAAGGGGGAGAGAGAGAGGGTGGGGGGGACTATCAGTGGGTGGTTTCATTTCAAAGCCCCAATTGGTAAGCATGAAAAATATACATTTACAATGCGAAATGGATATTTTGAACAACAACTGAAGCATTTTCAAAACAAGACGAAATAAAATATTGAAATATATATTCATAGTTATTATTCCTTGCAATTTGTAATATTTCACTACCATGTGCTCTTGTTAAGCACATGGTATTGTGGAACAACTTGCCCCTTCCGTGGTTCTCTTTTGCTGGCTGGAAAATACATTTTTATACGGGCAGACTTTTGCCTGCTAATTCTTACCTCTGGTGGTCATTTCTACCTCTAATCTTTTCCACTGTCAGTTTTTAAATGCATCCCTAATGCTCCACATTGTATGTAATTTTAATTTTGGGGGGGCGAGACCCTAATTTTTAATACCTTTTAATTGTTTTGAAGTGTCACAAGCCATCCTGAATAGTGCATGGACGCCAGGAAGGCAGGATGAATTTTTAATAAAAAATAAATAGCTCAGAAAAATGATACGTTGTATCCAACTACATTTTACCCAGAGTAGACCCACTGAATTAAATGGGCATGACTAACTTAGGTCCATTCACTTCCATCAGTCTACTCTTCAGCAGAACTTAAGACAGAGACACCCAAACACCTTGCAACTGTATGTATAATAATAAATTAAGAATAATTATAATAAAAATAGTAAGATTGTACGAGTTGGAAGGAGAAAATATCTTGGCCTCCCTGTGGGGAAAACTGCACATTGTGATTCAAGAACAAAAGTGCTCACAGTTTCACCTGGCTGACCAAAACTGCTTGTGTCCTTGTCTAAGCGCATTGATGCACAGGAGAAAACATGTTATTGATTGATTGGTTTTCATTATTGTGTTTAAATCCAAAGCCATGTTTCCCAGGAAACGTAAGTACCCAAGAAGAGCCTGCCGGATCAGGCCGACGGCCCATCTAGTCCAGCATTCTGTTCCCCCCCGTGGCCCATCAGATGCCCACTGTGGGGAAGTCATTGCTGGCTCCTGTTGAGAAGGCAGAGTGAAGTCATCATGGATAGCCCTCTCCTCCGTGAATTTCCCTAATGCTTCTCTAAAGCCATCCAGGCTAGAGGCCATGAGCACTTCCTGTGGGAGCAAGTTCCATAGTACAAACAGCCTCCATCGGTTCTGCCGTGGCAGCTCAGCTCCACCACGCCTCCTCCCCCCACGACTCTCCCCTGGAGGCGGCCACCCTGTCAGGCTGCCTCAGTGGGAGAGATACGAAGCAGGAGACTCGTTCCACCTGCTTTGAGGGAGGCCAAGGTCCACCGGGTACCTCCTGCCAGCTGATCAACACAAGAACAGTTTTGGCTTTCCTCTTCCCCCTTGCCCCTTCCCCCTTGTGTGTTGTGTTTTTGTTTGTTTGTTTATTCGAATGTAAGCCTGCGGATAGGGAGTGTCTTGTTTTGATTTCATGTAAGCCACTCTGGGAGCCTTTTTGGCTGAAGGGCCCAGAACAAATGCTCTACGTAATAAATAATCTCTTGCCTTCGCTGACAACAATCACATATTCAAGCAGAGAGCACAAGACAGGCTCAGAAGTCTCTTAAGCCTCATGCTTCAGGCCTTTTAAAAAAATGAAATGTGGATATACCACCCTTCATCCAAAGATCTCCAGGGGGTTCACAGCATAAAAACACAAGATGAAAACAGAAAATACATGAAAAGGAGAAAAAGAACAGAACAAACCCATAACCCCTACCTCCCACAAACCCATTTCAAAGGATATAGGATGTTGGTCAGCCAAAGGCCTGGCTGGAGAAAAACCTGTGGTGCCTAAGGGAGTATAATAATGCAGCCAGGCGGTTCTTCTTGGGAAGAGCATCCCATAAACAGGGAGCCACCACAGAAAAGGATCGTTCTTGTATTGTCCCCCTCTAGACCTCTCATGGAGGAGGCACGTGAAGAAGGCTTCAGGCGACCATCACAGGGTTCAGGGAGGTTCGTATAGAGAGAGGCAGTCCTTGAAATATTGAGGTCATGTGTTATTTCTACTATTCTTATTATTTTTAGATTTATGGTACATGCAGGCTTCAAGGAAGTCATGTTTTAAAACGAGTAAGTTGCTTATTTATCAGAGGGAAGGAAAAGGAAGCTGGGAAAAGACTTTCACATTTGGCTGCCCAAGGTACACAATCCTGGGGGTGTTCTGTTCATTCACAACTCTGCCTCTTCCGAGTCAGCCTTAAAGTAAGAAACAAAACAATAGGGGAGGTCTGGGTTCCTGGGTTCCTGGCCTGGATGTGGCCCACTTTGTGGAAGGAAGACAAAGAGAGATGTGCTAGTCACCCTGATTAACGACTTGTAGGGGAAATCATGCAAAGCTTTATGGGGGTAAAACATCCCCCCCCCCCCGCACACACACACGTCAGGCTGATAAAGATGTGTTTATGGCAGGAACATATCCAACACCCATTTCATTTCTGAAAAATTACAATCGTTTGATTGGGAAGAATACTTAGATTCCCCCTTCTTAGTCCTCCAATGGGCTCCTTCTAGCAGTCCATGTTGTTGTTGTTGTTGTTGTTGTTGTTACCACATCTCTTTCCCTGATGGGACTCAAGGTAGCTTACAGATAAAAATGAAACGTGACCAGAGATTCTCCGAGGACTGGAAGAAATTTACAGAGTATATCAAAAATTTCTGTGATGAGCAAATAACGTTCGTTGGCTTTCAAGAAGCTCTGTGAAATTACTGTTAGAAATATTGTTTTAAAAACATGATGTGATTAAGAGTATTTGAGTGCAATATAATATTGGGAAATGTGGGACGAGGATAAAAAATAAACGGAAAATTATCAGACAAGCTGAGGGAAGTTCTGGAAAAAAGGGTTTAAGTTAAAAATGGATGTATAATTTTGTAAAAATGTTTTTTTTATGGAAAATCTAATAAAAAATATTTATTAAAAAAAATGAAACTGTTTAATGAAATTGTTAAAAAAAAGTAAAAATGGTTAGAACTACATACATACATAAAATCTATTAAAACTATAGAAATAATTGCAATAAAAACAGCACAGCACCAGCCCTTTCATTAAAGCAGTCAGTTCCCAAAAGCCTGTTAAAATGAAACAGTCTTCACTTCCTGGCGGAAGGACAGCAAGGAGGGAGCCAATCTGGCTTCTCTAGGGAAGGATTTCCAAGGTCGGGGGCAGCCACCGAGAAGGTCCTATACCATGTCACCCCCAAAGCATGCCTGCGAGGGTGGCAGGAGTGAGAGAAGGACCTCCCTGAAGATCTCAGAAAACAGGCCACTTCTTATGAGAGAATGCAGTCTTTCATATACAGTCTTCCATGTAGCACAAAGAACTGCACTAAAGACGAGACATAGAATAAATATTATTTAGCTCAGCATTACCCTACATTGGGCTACCTTTGAAGGTGACCAGGAAACTACAACTAATCCAGAATGAGGCAGCTAGACTGGTGACTGGGGGCAGCCGCCGAGACCACATAACACCGGTCCTGAAAGACCTACACTGGCTCCCAGTACGTTTCCAAGCACAATTCAAAGGGTTGGTGCTGACCTTGAAAGCCCTAAACGGCCTTGGACCAGTAGACCTGAAGGAGCATCTCCACCCCCATCGTTCTGCCCGGACACTGAGGTCCAGCTGCGCAATTCCCACATTGCAAGAAGTGAAGTTACAGGGAAACAGGCAGAAGGTCTTCTCTGCAGCGCTGCCCTCCCTGTGGAATGCCCTCCCATGTCAATGTCAAGGAAATAAACTTCTGTATAGGGAAGTTTTTAATGTTTGATGTTTTATTGTGCTTTTATTTGTCCTGGAAGCCGCCTAGAGCAGCGGGAGCCACTAAGTCAAATGGGCAGGGTATAAATACTAGAATTATTATTATTGTTGTTATTATCCCCTTATGGAGGCCCAGTTCTTGTTGACCAAAATTTCAAGTGATGAACTTGTGAACCAACCCTAAGTGGTGTTGGGTCAAACTAAGCCAGAGGCTCCATTCCTGCTGGTTCCATGTAAGTTTCAGCTTTGTAAACTTACTCACTTCCTCACCCTCCCAAAACCCAGATACTTCGGCATCCTGGACGCTTCCTGGCAGGTCAGGAAAAAGTTGGATTTCGGCTGCTCAAGGGTTGCATTAATTTTTATTACAAATATCCCACCTTTTCCCCAGACCAGGGCTCATGGCTGCTTATGCAAATTAAAAACAACACAGACAAAATACAAAAAGCTAAAAACATATAAATGATAACTATCAAAAAGTGTTTAAACTCTAACAGAATTAAAACAATAAAAAAAAATTATTGAAATACAGATAATAAAAACAGCACGGCACTATTTAAAGCCATTTCCTTAAAAGGCAGTCGGTTCTGAAAGGCCTGTCAGAATAAAGCAGTCTTCAGTCTCCGGTGGAAGGACGGCAAGGAGGGAGCCAGTCTGGCTTCTCTAGGGAGGCAGTTTGGACATAACTGGATGTGACGCCATTAGCAGAATTAGCATGACAAATTGCTTCGCCAACTAAGAGCAGCCACACAGCACCAGCCACAGAATCAAGAAAGAGCTGTCAGTCTGTCAGTCCTTTCCGTCTCCAGGCCCTAAGTTCCCAAGGAGTTCTGGCTCCAAGCAGCTCTTCACGCAGTAGCTCTGAGCTCACAAAAGCCCCATTCCATTCAGTGAGAACTTCTGGACATGACTCTGACCACTTAATCATAATTGTGTTCATCAATAAAGCTGGGGTGGAAGGTTTTTTCAAGCAGACAAGAGTAGCTGGATCAGTTTTTCAAAAGTTCTGACACAGTGGCATAGTGTGGGTTGCTAGCACCCAGGGCAAGGCAAGTATTGAGCCCCCTAACCCAGGGACCACTGGCACTCCTTGACTGCCTCCCTCCAGTCCAGTATTGAACCCTTTACCCCCCCCCCCCAGCACATGTATTGCATTTTAAGAAAATACGGATGTTATTGAAGTAAAATGCGTTAAATGCTAGTATATTAAAAGTGATTTAGAATCACCTGCTTTTAATTTTTGCAGATTTTTAAATACTGGTATTGAAATCTACATTGAAATCTCTCTCAATTGACAGTATTGCTATGTTACTCAGTCTTTCTTGGCTCATTGTAGATCTCTGACACGTTTTGATTAAGTTTTGAGGAACTTCTTTAACAACTGGCCGTTGTAACAGTGATAGTTAAAAAGATTCTTAATGTCACAACAAAGTTAGTCAAGCTTTCACTTTTACACCCACTAAAGTAAATCTAAAGCTGTCCAGTTAGCAATTATCCTTATACAAGACAATATGGTGCCAAAGGCAATTTAGGAAAGTTTTTAATGTTTGATGTTTTATCATGCTTTTACTGTTCTGCTGGGAGCCGCCCAGAGTGGCTGGGGAAACCACTGGTATAAATAAAATATTATTATTATTATTATTATTATTATTATTATTATTATTATTTCAGCAATCATAGCTGCAGCATTCAACTCTGCATACTTAGCACATGTGTGCTGAATTTGTTCAATGATAAAATCATCTTTTTCTGTATCCAACAATGTCTGGATTTGCAGGAAAGCAAATCGCTGGTAAAGCATAGTCATCTGTATTGTACATTTTGTAATTCCTGCCTTATGCCAATTACCACAGCAGGGGCAAAGCTGGGGCCTCACAGATGCACCAGCAGACCCAGCCTGGTCCTTCCACACAATCCTGCCTCACCGCTGCCTTTTTTCTGCAGAAGCTGCTGTTGAGAGTGTGACAGCACAACAGAGCTCCACTGGACTCTTGCAGAACCACTTTGGGCACAGATGTATTTGCATACCCCAAAAGTGTCCTCTCTTCTGTTTCCTCATACCTGTGAAAGCTATCCAGGCACCTGAAATAGAGGGCCTTTAACTACCACAGCAAGAATCTATCAACCAAAACTGGCACATATCCAACAGCAAAACACCATTAATATGCTTCTAAATGAGATCTGGTTAGCCTCAATTACAAACCCACAATGAACAAAATATTTATTCAACGGCTGAAATGAAGCCACAGCCTGTTATCCTCAAGGAAGAAGATTCCTATTTTGATTGCTAAACCTGCTGCATATTCTACAGCTATCAGTCACAGCATTAGCAGTGGGAACAGAATGCCCAGCGCCTGGACAGTAATAAATTACTACTTCTGCAGCAATATACCCCCAAAGCATTTCATCCCCAGTTGGTGGGGCAACTGTCTTAAGGCACAAAGGACGGCTGCAGGACAGAGTCCCACCTTCAAGTAACAATACTGTTACTGAGATGTTCTACTAAACCCTGATGGTGCTTAAGCACGCTGAGGGAAATCCCATCATGTGATGAGATGCCACGGTAAGCAGGTGAGTGGCAAAGTGGGCAGCTCACAGGCCCGTAGGCAAAAGCTCTCTTATTAGGGTGGTGGCAAAAAATGACACGCATTCCTAGTGCGGTGGACAAAAGGCGATCACTCTCATCTTTTCCTGGCCTGAAACATGGGTGTAGCCAGGGGGGCAGGCAGGGGCAGCTGCCCCCACCTAAATCAATAAAAATGCTGAGCACCCCCCCCCCTAACAAAAGGCCTGCCCCCCCCAAGAAAAATCTTGGCTATGCCCCTGCCCAGAAACCAAATGCCTTGGAATGTAGCAAACACTTCTACAATAGACAAAGCGCTACCCTGGTACCATAATGAGAAACTCTACGTTGTTCTGCGCCTTCAGACTTGGCAGGGGCATTCAGAGGAGCCCCGATCCAAGCCTCTCTGGAGCCCTAGACAATCTGAAACACAATCTCCCCCAATGCACTTTTTGGAGGTGCCTGCAGGGGCTGAGAGGCCAACGTCTCTCCTTCCCCCGAAGATGCTGCGTCCAGCCCAGGGACTGACCTCAGCTAGAGTGCAAGGCTTGCCTGGTCCCTGCGAATAGTGAGAGAGCTTCTCCAGCTGGCCTATGGCGGGAATGACCCTGTTTAAAGCTTCAGCTGCCAAACGTGGGGCTTACTCACTCACAGCCGCCTCTTCTCTTGAGCTCAAAGGAAGGATGCTGACATTTCCTTCTTCAGCAGTCGGGGACGAAAGGCAGGTCGCTCCAGGCGTGGCTGAGGCTTGGAGGTGGGGATGCACTTGTTGCCCAACTTGCACCCCTACATATTTTGCATCTCGTGGAACCACCCCAGTGTCCCCCCACCGCACACACTACGCCACTGGACAGGCCTGGAATGATCTGCAGTGAAGAGCATTGGTAAAGCGCTGGGAGGTCTCAAACAGGGTGCTCTGGCAGTGGGTTCCTGGTGCCAGAGCCTCCAAGGCCCTGTTTTGGCTTGCCAATGAAAAGAGCTGCTGACCTGCCCCCTCACCTGCTGTAGCGCCATCCCTGCAGGTGCCCAGAATAGGGTGCTGCGAGCTTGGAGCAAAGGTCAGGATCCAGCCCTGCTTAGACCTCCACTCAGAAGACCAAGGGGACCAGGACCCCTCAGCAGATCTCCCTCCAGCCATACTGTCCGCAAAACTGGAGGAACTGTTGGATCCTGACATCCCTGGCCCAGGACCAGAGGTCTTGATGCCTGGATTCATGGCCAGCTGTGAGACACCCATGCACCAGTTTGTCACCCCAGGACCATAGGAAGAAAAGAGGCTGCAAGCCAAGGCAGAGTGTCAGGGCTGCTGGCAAAGTGCCCGGCCAGAGGCTTCTTGGGGGAGGGGGCAAGGACCTGCCTGAAACAAGACCTGGCTGAGAACCAGGCAGGGGTGGAGCCACAATGTTTGTTTAAGAAGGCTGTGTCCAATATAGACAGATGTTGGAAGTGTAATGGTGAGAAAGCGCAGGCACATGACGCATTCCTTCTGGCCTGAGGTTGTTGTATTTGCCAATTTTGCATTGGCAAAACCCTTGATAATTGCAGGTGTACACTTTTAAATTATATTCCTGTACTTATGGGGATTATCAGCAAGACAATAAGTGTGGACTTTGCAAGCCCTTATGGTTGTGAGTTATACTTTGAGCCTGGAAGGACAGGTGTCCATCTTCTATTACACAATGATCTGAGGAACTAACTGCATTAATATTGAATTTAAGATGCATGCACTTGTGGTTACTGTATCCGTAACGTGAACTGATGGTGGCTTTTTTTGTTGTTGTTTAAGTTAGTATTATCCATATATTATTATTATTATTATTATTATTATTATCATCATCATCATTCAATTTACTCCATGTGATTGTAAAAAATCACCTAACAATTTACAAAAAGAACAATAAAATCATCAGGAAAGTCAGCTCTTTAAAATTTCCAAAAAATAAAATAAAATCAGCAATAAACTTGAAGATTAAAACATACATCAGCATCAGTATTATTAGTAGTAGTATTATAAGTTTCTTATTTCTCTTCCTTTCTTTGTCAAATCTGCAAATGAAAGAATTAATAATAAAAACTAAGCGGTGGAGCCTCCAGCTCCGATGCAAGTCTACCAGGCTTCACCACTGACACAACAACTCCCCTAGAGCATCAACCGCCAGCACAAAGCCTTCCTGAACTAGTAAAATGAACACCAGGTTACTTCAACAGCGCACAGAGTTTCTCACCAGGCCCTACAAAGTTTCCAAGCATATCCATGTACCTGATCATGCGGGTATTAGGCCACAAAAACCTATTCCAAAATAATTCTGTTAAGTCTTTAAGGTGCTGTTTTTGCTGCCACAGCAAGAAAACCCCCACTAGCCCGATGAATATTTTGACCTAATGTGCAGCAGCTGTGGAAAAGGCAGATTCCATGCTAGGGGTCGTCAGGAAAGGGTCTGAAAACTAAACTGCCGATATCATAATGCCTTTATACAAACAGCTTTTGTTCAGTTCTGGTCAGCTTGCCTCAGAAAGGAAACTGCAGAGTTTGAAAAGATTCAGAAAAGGTCAGCATGAGGCTTTTAGTTTCGAGAAAAAGCAAGGAAGAGGGGCAATGACGGAAGTGCATAAAATTACACACAACGCGGAGAAACCTTTTCCTACCCCTCTCATAGCACCAGAAGTTGGGGACATCCAATCCAGCTGAATGATGGAAGATTCAAGACTTTTCATGCAGTACACAGTTTAGACTGGGGAACTCCCTCCCACAGGAGAAAGGGGTGGCCGCCAGCAGTAACTACCCACGGCTACCAATCACGATGGCTGTGTGCTGGCTCCAGTACCAGAGGGATGCAACTTGCCAGGAGGCACAAGAGAGTCCAGTGCTCTCGCACTCGCGCCCGGCCTTCATGCTTTGCATAGCTGGCCACAGTAAGTAAGGAACAGGACGCTGAACTAAACTCCTCCAGCAGCCAGGCTGTTGTTCTATTTTATAATTATCTTTATATCTCACTTTTCCTTCAGGGAGCTCAAAGTGGCATACACAGTTCCTCCCTCTCCCCAATTTATCTTCACAACAACCCTATGAGGTAGGTTAGGCTGAGAGAGCAGGACTGACCCAAGGTCACCCAGTGAGTAGAGATTTGAACCTGGGTCTCACTCTCCCCAGTCCAACATTCTTACCACTGCACCACACTGGCTCTCACCGTATGTCAATCACAGAATCATAAAATTGGAAGGGAGCGCAAGGGTCATCTAGCGCAACCCCCTGCGATGCAGGAATCTTTCCGTCCTACCTGGAGCTCGAACCCATGACCCATGAGTCTCATGTTCTACCAGTTGAGCTATCCCACAGGCATAAACAGAAGTGGCTGTACCAGATCAGTTCCAAGGTCTGTCTCTCCTGCAGCCCATTTTACACAGTGTCAGGCCTCAGGATGGGATAGATGTGAGCATGTGGTCCAGCCAGTGCCAGATTTACGTATAAGCTAAACAAGCTGTAGCTTAGGGCCCCACCCTCTTGGGGGCCCCCAAAAAAATTAAAGGGAAAAAAACCTGGATGTACATTTCCAAAATATAAGATTTTTAAAAATGGCTTTAGATACCTATTTGGTCCATAAATTACCATATAGAATATATTCAACACAAAAAGCAGCGGCAATTGTTGTTGGCAAAGGACAGCTGGACATCTAAAGGCCCCATTACCTTCAGTAGCTGAGGGCCTCACCAAACCTAAATCTGGCCCTGGGTCCAGCACAAGGCAGGATGAGGGCTGGGTCAAGATTCAGAGCAGGATAAAAGCTTCTGAGGGCCAGAGGCAGACAAAGGTCAGGATGGAAGCCAACACCCAAGCAGAGGGCGCAGGAGGCTGGAAGAATCATCTCAGAGAGGAAAGGGTTTTATAGGTCAAGGGGAACCAGGATTGGTCCAGAGGTGGGGTCAGCTGACCGAATCTTTGTGCAGACTGGCATGACAAGCTAGGTGGCGCACTTGGGACCTGGAGTTCATTCCACCCGGCTTGCAGTGGAAACGAGGAGATAGCAGCTGCCATTTTGCAATATTCTGCAAGAGCAAATTCCATACACAAACTATTTCATTGGGTGATCCTGAGTTCTTGCATTATGGGGGAAATGGGGTGGGGGATGGAGAACCTTCTCTGTTAACTTTCCTCATATCATATGTCATTTTATAAATTTCTATCGTGATTTATTCCCACCCCATCAACTTTTTAAAACTTCTCTCAATGCCCAGAGGTGAGAAATTCAAAGTCCTCCAGATGTTGTTAATAATAATAATAATAATAATAATAATAATAATAATAATAATAATTTATTATTATTTATACCCCGCCCATCTGGCTGGGTTTCCCCAGTCACTCTGGGTGGCTTCCAACAGAACACTAAAATACAATAACCTATTAAACATTAAAAGCTTCCCTAAACAGGGCTGCCTTCAGATGTCTTCTAAAAGTCAGGTAGTTGTTCTTCTCTTTGACATTGGTAGGAGGGCATTCCACAGGGCGGGTGCCACTACCGAGAAGGCCCTCTGCCTGGTTCCCTGTAGCTTTGCTTCTCACAATGGGGGAACCACCAGAAGGCCCTCAGAGCTGGACCTCAGTGTCCAGGCAGAACGATGGGGGTGGAGATGCTCCTTCAGATATACTGGACCGAGGCCCTTTAGGGCTTTAAAGGTCAGCACCAACACTTTGAATTGTGCTTGGAAACGTACTGGGAGCCAGTGTAGGTCTTTCAAGACCGGTGTTATATGGTCTCGGCGGCCGCTCCCAGTCACCAGTCTAACTGCCGCATTTTGGATTCGTTGTTGGCCTACATCTCCATGGAAGTCAAGGTTCACGAACATCTGGAGGGCTACAAGTTAGCTACCCCTATTCATCCTCATTTGCAATATTCCCAGTATGGAGACATCTATTTGGAGAGCCTCACCATCCAGTAAAGGATTTCGCAATCCTAAATAATTTTTGAGTCATCCACAGCCTTGGCCACCCCTGACTCCAGATTGATTGGTTGGTTATTTAATTGTTTGTTTCTTTGTTTGTTTGTTTGTTTGTTTGTTAAGCATGCCACCCTTCATCCATATATCTCAGGGTAGATTTCACAACATAAAAATACAAGATTTAAATACAATATTTAAAAAAAAATCAAGAAAAAAACAAAACAGTACCCCCACACATACCTCTTTCCGCAAACCCATTTAAAAGTAGGATATTAATCAGCCAAAGACCTGGTTGAAGGGGAACTTTTTGCCTGACACCTAAAGGTGTGTAATAAAGGCAGCAGCCGAATGCCCCTGGACAGAGCATTTACGAATAAGTTATATAGCCTCAGTTTCTGATCCTCATATCTCATGACTGCTAGTTTTGCTTATTGTGAAGGACTTTATCAAAAGTTTTTCTGAGGACTCACTCGCTGCCTAGGTATAAGTAGACCAGAAATACTGTATTGTTGGTGAACAGGGCAAGATTTGTCACATTTTAGAACCACAGTGCTCTGGTTTAATTTGTAATCTCTCTTGACCTTTTGCCTGTTTCCCCTGCTTCCTTTTGTGCTTAATAAAATTCACAGTTAGACTAGCAAAGTCTGTGTAAAATGCAAGCTCCGGGAGTATGGAAATCCACACATTCAATGTTCTAAGATCAGAGTGCATAAAGCCAGGTTGTTGTTTTTTCTATTCTCATGGAGAAGCAGAGATGGAACGCTGGCCTTGCACTCAGAGTAAATTGCAAGACATTGGATGGAGAGGCAAGGCTCACAGATCCAGAATCCCTACATCTAATTTTTAATTGGACATCCCTAGATGTCCCCCTAAAGAGTGTGGTGGTGACAGGAATGCATTGCAGAGCTGTTATGCAGCAGTGAGACCAGAAAAGGAGATGGAGAGGCTCTCTTGAGCACCCCCCCTTTTCTACACTGTGAATGCCCGAATATTTGTGAGAATTATACTCCCCTTCCCTCTGCAGAGAAGGAGTGCAGTAGAAGAGACAACAGCTGCAAGTGTCCCTTAGAAATCTTGAACATTTAACAGTGACGGACATCACCTCTGGCAAGGAGCAGCAGCACAGAATGGGCAGGACAGTGAGGGGATCTGGAGACAGTTGCACATGGCAGTTCATGGCAGACTCAGGACCACTCACACGTTAAAGCTTTATGCAGTGTCAAAGTGCCGTCCCATATCCCAATTCCTGACAAATATTAATCCGGGCTACTAGTGCCACAGCTTTTTGATTTATGGGGTGTTCTGCAGAAACAGGGCTCCTCCAGACTTTTGCTTGCACAAGGTTCACATGGCGGTTAGATCAGGGGGTCCAGGCTCTACTGAGTGCTCATTCTGTTTTGTTTATGAGGCAATTATGGGACAATGAGCTTCTGCCTGATTTGCTGGCAGGATTTTTTAACATGCTTTATCTTTAGTCATTCTTGCATTCCACTTTTTTCAATGCACTCCCCCTCACAAAGTCCATGAATTATTATTATTTTGTTAGCGGTGAGTTTGCTTCACTGGGATAAACACTTAAAATCCACAAACCTAAAATTTCCAGTTTGCATTTGCTACTCTCCTCCAAATATTGAAAGCCTGAAGCCCCCCCGGGTAGGTCCAGATTGAATGGGGGAAATAACACACGACAGCATTATGATGAGGGTGTCATTGTTCACATGATGTGCAAACATGAATGGCTACAGAAGCTGCACCTCATCCACCGCACACTGGTGGGCAGAAGCAACTCCTAAAGGGGCATTGGCTTGCATTTTTAAAAAGCAACAACGAAAAACAACATTTATTTACATATCTATGAAGTATATAGTGCTATTCATAAAACATATCAGAACAGATTACAACAATTATATGTAAAACCATGCAATAAAAACCTAATAGCGTTTTTAAAATCCAAAATCAGCTAACTATTATGCAAATATATATTCTTCATTACGTGCATAAGCCCAACAGAATGTTAAAGTTTTCTGCAGGCATTTAAAAGGTTGGAGCAGAAGACGCCTGCCAAATCTCTGTCGGCAGAGCAATTCCACAGGACTGGGCCAGTGATTCTAATGGCTCGGTTTCTTGTTGTCAAAGGAGCCTCACCAACTCAGGGGATTATGAATTGAGACCAACATATCATTATTTCAGAAAAACTCCCCATACAATTCTGGAGTCACAAACTATCAGAGGCTTAAATCCTTAATACTGTCCAGGGGTGGGGGAGATACAGAACAACTTTTGGCCCCCTGAAATCTCCTTTCCGTTCACAAAGCAATATGCATCTTCACTGGGAAATATATGAAAGAGTGGACACCACAGAATTGTACGAAACAGAAATCCTTGAAGAGAAAATAATTGCCTTGGTGGTGTAATTGGTTTATTATTTCATATGTGTATCCTGTCTTTCTTTCTAGACAAGAAGCAAGGAAGCAAAACAGGAGAGAATGAAGGAATAAGCCACAGCACCCACTATCCTGAAATTGTAAACACATTCTGCCCCATCTGACTACACATTTTGCCATGCACCCCTTGCAAACTCTGGCCGGTGTCCAAATAATATACAATTCAGCATCCAAAGAATATCCACTGAGAAGGCCTCCCTGCTCCGCTTAGGAACACCACAGAGACATATGCCTATCACTGCCCAAAGAACATTTCAGGTAAAGGCAAGGCTGAAAGCTCAGGTCCAGGAAGTCATCCCCAGGTGATGGTCTGAAGCTACCTAAAACCATCACCTTGCTAAAGCTGAGAAGGTCCAGAGGTGGTCAGTGCCTGGGTTGGGTGGTCACCTGGAAGCCACACCTGTACACTGCCTTGGGTTCCATGACGGAATAAAGTAGGATATAGAAGAAGCTAATAAAAAAGTGAATAAATAACATCTTGAAATAAACTTTTTGGGGGGGGAGATTTAGTATATTTTGTTTTGCAGTATGATTTGCATTTAAATTCTTACTTCTTTGCTGCACTTATCTGCTGAGCAATAACAGGACATTCTTATGACGCTTGGAATCAAAGGCTCTGTTGTTTGCGGGGACAATTTGTTTATTTACATTAATTTTCTCAATGAACTACATAAAGACATTTGGTGAAATGTTTGCCCCAAATCTTGTAATTTTTAGGCTTAACTTTGTTGCCTGGTGCTGCTCCTGGCCTTAACAGCAGCATGACACACAAGGATGTCTCCCTTAGAGCAGGGATGTCCAACCAGTAGATTGCAATCTACCAGTAGATCCCCAGCTGATCCTGGTAGATCGTGGGATCCTTATCGTGTAGAAAAAGTTATGGGGGGAAAGCTCAACAACTCTGGGCAATCCACCCACCCCACGCACGCTCCTCCTCCCTCCAATGGGTAGATCACTGCCAGTTTTTTAATACTGGGAGTAGATCACAGTCTCTTGGGAGCTGGACGTGCCTGCCTTAGAGGACAGTTCTGCTGCCCCTGTGGACCATGCTTCATGGGTGGGGTGGGCCGGCCCTGTCTGGTGGTCCAGTGAGAGAACAGGATGCTGGACTAGACAGACCTTCTGTTGACCCAACCGGAGTTCTTCTTATGTTCCTTTGAGAGAGGAAGCGAAGCATAACCTTACAGTTCAAATACGCTTCCCCTTTAATTGCCTCCCCCCTCTAAACTAAACAGTTTCCCAAAGGTGGAGGACTCTCTTGCACTGGAGATTTTAAAGCAGAGATTGGATGGCTACCCTGTGAGGGATTATTTATCTGTGATTCCTGCGTGTTGGGGTTAAATGTCTCTTGGGGATTCCTTCCCACTTGACAATTCTGTGATCTGGTGCTGAGCCTCTCCACGCAAGGAAGGCGTTCCAATTCCTGATCCTTCCGGTTATCCTTTCCTCCTTCATGTTCAGCTCTATACAGTGGTACCTCAGGATGTGAACGGTATCCGTTCCGGAGCCCCGTTCGCATCCTGAAGCAAATGCAACCCACGACTGTGCATCTGCACGTGCGCGGGTCGCGATTCACCGCTTCCGCACATGCGCATGACGCCATTTTGACCGTCTGGGCATGCACGAGCGGTGAAACCCGGAAGTAACACATTCCGTTACTTCTGGGTTGCCGCAGCGCGCAACCCGAAAGCTCTCAACCTGAAGCTACTTCAGCCTGAGGGATGACTGTGCTGCCGTGTCCTTTTTGCTAAAGGTGACCCTAGGTGCACAATGGACTTGCTATCAAGGGCTTTTGGCCATGGTGGCTCTGCTCTGCCTCCGCAGCCGGAAGCAGCCGTGCTTCTGAATACCAGCTGCTGGAAACTGGCACAGGAGAGGAAGAGTGACCTTGCTCTCAGGTCCTCCTTTCGGTTTCCCAGAGGCGCCTCTTTGGTCACTGTGAGAACACAATGTAGGACTGGATAGGGCTCTGCCCAGATGCAGCCGGCTCTACTTAAGATATTGCAAGGACATCTGATTACTGGCGGCTTTATTGCCTTGTTTGTCAGGGAGACCCGCATGCCTCCAAAATGGACCAATCAGAGCCCAGCCCCCCTTAAGGGCCGAAGCAGCCATGGAGCCTCTAGCCAAAACGTTCCCAGGCTTTCCTGCTGAAAAATCCCAAAACAATTACGACCTGCCTCTGATAGCCATTGTCAACATGCTCCAAGACCCAATTGATCCCAAGCAAAAAGCACAAAGCAAACTCTTCATCATTTGCAAACCTGCCAGATGTGAATATTTTCAAAGATTTGTACGTTCTTATTTAAAATAACCACAGAGGCCTTTCACCCCAAGGCTGGCTGCTGTATTACCTGGGTCTCTCTCATAGTCTGGAAAGGCTGAAGGCCAGCAGTCTCCCCACAGAAGACTCTCTCAACCCTGATCAACCTTGTAGCCCTGAGCTGCTGCCTTGAACACAGGAGGCCGCAGGTTAGATCCCTGTCATCTGCAGGCAGGGCTGGGCAAATACCCTTTGGTTTGCTGTCCAGCATGGACCCGGGGGGGGGTGTGCTTCCTAGGCTATCAATGAGAGGTTTGCACCATCAAGACCCCAAAATTGTTGCCTCCCAGTATTACCCTTCAACAACAACCCCTGCCTCCGTTAAGTAAACAAAGAATTCCATGCCTAGTGTTAGATACCTCACTGTTGCCACTTTTCTTGAGAGCCAGTGGTTATAGTGCTGGACTAGGACCTAGGAGGGACACGGGTGGTGCTGTGGGTTAAACCACAAAGCCTAGGACTGCCAATCAGAAGGTCAGCGGTTCGAATCCCCGCGACGGGCTGAGCTCCCGTTGCTCGATCCCTGCTCCTGCCAACCTAGCAGTTCGAAAGCACGTCAAAGTGCAAGTAGATAAATAGGTACCGCTCCAGCGGGAAGGTAAACGGCGTTTCCGTGTGCTGCTCTGGTTTGCCAGAAGCGGCTTAGTCATGCTGGCCACATGACCCGGAAGTTGTACGCCAGCTCCCTCAGCCAGTAAAGCAAGATGAGCGCCGCAACCCCAGAGTCGGCCACGACTGGACCTAATGGTCAGGGATCCCTTCACCTTTACCTAGGACCTGGGAGCTCAGGGTTCAAATCCCCCCCCAACTCAGCCATGAAGCTCACTTTGGGTGACCTTGGGCCAGTTACTGTCCCTCACCCTAACCTGCCACACAGTTGTTTTGGTGATTACATGATAAGGGGGAGGGGAGGAGAACCATTGTAAGACAATGTGAGCTTTGCGGGGGGAGGTGGGATGAAAATGCAATTTAAAAATAAAATAAAGCTTGGGTCCTTCACATGTTTTGCGGCTTCTCGGGGAACTGCTTGTTGCCTTTTAGTTAATTGTTTCATCATGGTCTGACTGTCGTTAGGCTCCAGTGTGTCAGTCCCCTTGAGCACTTCTGCAGGAAGTGGAAAGGCAGTAGAGAAACCGCTTTAATGCAATCATTAGATGCTTCTTGCTGGAATGGGGTCTTCACAGGGCCATGGCTCAGCAGCAGAGGATCTGCTTTGCATTCAGAAGGCGCCAGGTTGATTCCCTGGTACCTCCAAACAGAAAGCATCTAAGCAGCAGGAGGTATGGTGGAGGCAGCTGCTGCCAGTCAGAGCCAAGATGAACTAGGAGTCTCAATCAGTCTAAGTCAGTTTCATGTCTCCCACGCAGCATGAAAGTGGCAATTGTTGTTGTTTTTAATGCTAAGATTTGTAGAACGGATTTCAGAACACTTTGATCCATTTGTCTGGTTCATCCAGATGACCTGTTTATTGAGCTTTCATCCTGGTTGGCTTGAACAAAATTTCTGTGGAAGTCGGACTATGCCTGGTCTTTGTTGAGCATCTTTTCAATTTTTTAGTGAAGTGGTTATAAAACAATGCATATTCACCCTGACTGGTTTGGACAAGGGTTTATGAGTCTTCCCATTAAACCACTGCCCTAAACCATGACTGAGTTTCCTTTACGTACAAAACATAATTCTATGCCAAGGCAATTCAAGTTCTGAATACTGTGCAGTGTATACATTAATAGACAACTGTAAATATACTTTCTGTACCCAGTGCTACAGAATCGATTGCAACACACACACCCCTGATCCCCTAAAATGTCAGTGTAAATGAATTCAAGTGTATGGATTTGTTATGTTTGCATCTTTCTTTTTCTCTACGTATCAGGATCTTCCAGGCACTTTGCGCCACCATCTGCCAGAAGTTCCCTTCCAAATTCCACACAGGACAATCTGGTCACACTCTCCACACCAAAGAATAAATGGAGACACATCTGATACCAGAGAGGGTAATACCCAGAAACCAGCAGGATGTGTCAACCACACAGGATCTTTATGAAGTCATTTCTGAGCAAAGGAACTTCCCACAGAAACTCCCAGTGGAAAACTCACCAGAAAGTACAGGATTTAACCCTACTGCAGGAGGGGAGTCAATCAACCAATATTTGCGTTATCGTCAGTGCCACTTCATGAATGGCCACGGTAACTATTTTACATATGTTTTCAGTTTAACCCAGTTATCGGTTTTTTTGCATTTCATTTCCCCCTCACCTCACAGCTAATGTTTTCTGTTTCTAACATCCCTATGAGTATATGCCTCTAACAGGTGAAAATGGCACTGCATGCATCTGAGGAGCAGGCCACTAGCCCACGAAAGCCTATGCCGTAGTGATAATGCCCCTTCTAAGTGCAGAAGTTATTCAATCTCTCTCTCTCTCTCTCACACACACACACACAGCACTTTGCTTAGCATCTAACCTGATGAAGAATTTTGTTGGACTCAGAACCTTGCTCGCCATATTGTGGGCATTCTGGTTGGTCCCTGTTGAAAGGACTTTGCCACTTTTATTTGCTTGCTTTAACCCTTGCTAATATATGCAACCCACCTCTCTTTCCACACAGTTAGTTGGGTGGATTTCTCTCTCTCTTACTTGGCATGCAAGCATTGGCAAATGCACACCCCTGCTGTGGAATAAATAAGGTGCTCTGTCATGTCCCTGCTCCACTGTGCTACTGGCCTGGCCTGGCTGAAGCCAACCCAGTTTTTATCCCACTGGGCAAAATGCTGCCCTTTCCTGTCTTTCTTCCTTTTTTAATTTTATTTTTTTATTAATAATGCACACACAACATTACAAATACAACCATTCAAATATCGACAATACAAATGCACTACACAAATACAAACATAAATATTACACCTGCGTGACTTCCCTCCACCCATGTTCGTCATTTCTTATATCCTTATGTATATTGCAATTTGTAACTCTCATCTTTATTATTGTTATTTAACTATTAATTTGTTATCTGTATCAACTTTACAAGCTTAATCTAAACATATCAGCATGTTATCTGTATCCTGTCTTTCTCTCTTCCATGGTCGCACCCTCAGGAGAGAGAATTCAGCAGCTGCTTCTAAAAACACACAAGTCTGTGGATCAGGAGGTCCCTGACCTCCTCCAGTGGGTCTACTGGGCTCACTCATGAAACAAAGGCACTCTGCACGTGTTCAGGAACTTGGCTGCCTCTACTTCTTTATACACACCCAGGCTGGTGCAGAAAACTGGCTGGGGGGCACAGAAATAGTGGAGTCCAAAACACTGATAAACCAGTATTCCCAACACAGACTGGCAGCAGCTGCTCTCCAGGAATACAGGAAGGATTACAGGAAGCAGTAAATCATCAGAAGCAGGAATTCCTTTTTAACTTGCACACCTCAAATTCTAGAAAACAAATAAAACACATCATCCCCCCCCCAAAAAAAAACCCTCTACGTAAGTGATATCAACCATAAGCAAGTGAGGTGGTCGCATATTTTTGCATATCAGCCAAAAGGAAACTTCTAGCAGGACTTAATTCTTTTGTGGTGATGGGTCACTTGAACTCAACACCCCAGAACCTGCTTCCCATACCTGGCAACATCAACACTATGGAAGACAGCGAGGCAATATAGATGGCAGAGTCCCCAGTGCAGGCTGTGTATACACCTGGGCTTGCACACTGCTTGGAGATTTACTTATTTACTTTCGAGCATGCAGTTTTATAAATTTTCTAAACGAATAAATAAAACTAAGATGATGCAACCTAAACCACCATGTCCCTTGGAAAGGGCTTGCAGACTGAACTGTTTCCAGCACTCCCAGCAGAGCTTTCCAGCACACAGTGACAGCCATCATCACAGACGGTAGAGAAAAGGAGAGGGAGAATTCTGGAGGGCAAAGGTTAAGACCAGCCTCTCTGGCAGGTGCCCGTCAAGGTGGTGTCAAAAGCGAGGACATAGCTAATGTTTGCTTTATTGATTTTACCTTTATTTTTAATGATACTTTATGTAATTCGTTTTTAATTGGTTCGTGGGGAGTCAGTCACATTTTATATACATTTGGACTTGTACACTGCTTGGAGATATTTAGGGTTTTTCCAGTTTATAATTTTTCTAAATATAATGCAGCCTAAGCACCACAATCCCTTTGCAAAAGGGCCTCATGTGATGGCAAATTAGGCCTAGGGGGCAGGAGGCAGTTAGGCTGCCCCAATGCCAGAGCTGGCTTCAGTGCAGAGATGGGATCATCCAGTAGGCAAACTGGTGGGAATAGGACAGAGAGAGTCTCCAAACCCAAGAGACAGGATTTCCTGTTCTACACAGGTGACTTTCCTTACTCTTGCCCCCCCCCCCACACCAAAGCCAGATGCACACATACAAGTTGGGTCCAAATCTACTCCTCACATCTCATACAAAACTGACTTGTGGAACTCATCGCCACAGGATAACCACTAACATGAATGGCTTTTAAAATAGTTACCTAAATTCCTGGAGGCTGAGCCTCTGAATAGCTAGTTGGTAGAAGATTAGAACAGTCCCATAGGCAAAGTATCCATAATTTTCAGGTGCACGCTTGCCTTTCTTTGTACCATCCCTGTTTGACAACTTGGGGAGGGTTTGGTAAATGATGGAAACTGAATTCCGCCCATTATAGAGCTGTATATGGTATTGCAATGCTCTTACATTTTTTCAGCTCAACCTCCCTGCAAGCCGTGCCTCTCCATGTCTAAATTCCTCTTACTTATTAACTGATCTCCTTAGCACAAAATTCCTAAATTCATCTACTCTTGTGGATGGTTGCCATTAAAACATAGCCTGCACATCTGCCACAGTGACTTCTGTTCACTTTTCTGCCTGCAGAAGGGATGCAGCTCAGCGGCAGAAGAGCTCAGCTGGCCCGCAGAAGGTCCCAGGTTCATCGCCTGGCAAGGAGAGACTGTGTGGTACCCTGAGCTCATTACATCAGCAGGCCTCACTTGGTGCAAGGCAGCTTCCAGGGGTGCCAACCTGAATAAAATATTGGGGAGGCAGGTAAGCCCTGCCCCCAGACAATCAATCACACGGCACAACACACACACCCCATCTGAATGGCAATGCCCATCAACTGCGTCGGGGGGCTTAAGTATTTTATGGGGGGCAGGGCGGCAAAGGGATCTCCACCCCGAGAGTTTGGGTCCTGTGGCAGTTTCCTGTGTTCCTCCAGGCACCTTGTGCTTGCTCAGGATGACAAGCCAGTTAATTAATTTTAGACTTCGGAATTAGTGGTCTTACTAGTCCTCCTTTTCCGATGCATACGACTTCACTTACTTCGAAATGCAGTCAGCCAGCCTTGCTGCATTTACACCCTCTGCTCATTCCTGCAAGAGTGGGGTGCCCTGGACATCCACCCAGGCAGCAAATTCAGACTTTGGACTCCAGGATAAGGCAGTCACAATTCATCTGGAAAACTGATGCACCAAAGCAGGTTGACTAAGCAGAATCTGTTTCTGGAAGTGTGATATTTTATTTCATAAATGAGCAGGTGGTGTTCAGGGTCCCATCCTCTATTACCTCGCTATCCCTTTTGAGTGCTTCCAGGCAGGTGTTCGCTATGAAATTGGTGCGGCTAATGCCTGCAAGGCTTTTGCAGTGTCCAGAAACATGCAAACATCCTGCATTTCTACCCAATTTAATTCAGATTTGCCCTTTTCAGAGGAAATCTAATAAAATTTACACATTGCTTCTGTGTATGTGTGTGTGTGTGTGTGTGTGTAGAGAGAGAGGTAAAGGTTAAGTCCAGTCTATGGGGTTGCGGTGCTCATCTCGCTTTCAGGTCAAGGGAGCTGGCGTTTGTCCTCAGACAGCTTTCCGGGTCATGTGGCCAGCAGGACTAAACTGCTTCTGGCACAACAGGACACTGTAACAAGTACCAGAGCACATGGAAACACTGTTTACCTTCCCGCCTCAGCGGTACCTATTTATCTACTTGCACTGGTGTGTTTTCGAACTGCTAGTTTGGCAGGAGCTGGGGCAGAGCAACAGGAGCTCACCCCGTCGCGGGGATTCGAACCGCCAACCTGCTCAAGAGGCTCAGTGGTTTAGATCACAGCGTCAGGTGATGGTGTTGGGGAAGGGATTGTAGGGTTAGAAAGGACCCTGGGGGTCATCTGGTCCAACCCCCTGCAATGCAGGCATCTCAACTAAAGCATCCGTGACAGGTGGCCACTCAACTTCTACATAAAAATCTTCAAAATTTCACCTCCCCAGGAAGTCTTGAAACTTTAACCTTCTGTAGAGTAAAATAGCACCACTGGTTGACTCTGAAAACAGAGAGCTAGATTAGCAGTAGCTCAGCACCCACTACAACAGGGGTGAGAGGGCTTCAGGCTTGTCCAATCTTGTTTTGTTTTGTTTGTTTTGTTTTACACTGAAACTCTGCTGCTACCGACCAACTGCAGCCAGAGGAATAAGAGTTCTTCAGCTGGGTGGACCTACGCAAGGAATTGAGGAGCAGGTTGTCTCTGTGCGTACACATGGTCAGTCCAGGAATTCGCAATCAGTAACAAAACCAATTCCACGGGTCCTTTCACACAACAATCCACTCCCAGTTTTCAACCCAGCAGTCTAATTTATAGAGAAGGTAAGTTTATTGGTTGTTGCTATACAGGCCTAAGTCTAATTTATAGAGAAGGTAAGTTTATTGGTTGTTGCTATACAGGCCTAAGACATTTCGGTGCCTGAGGCAAACCACAAAATGCCCCCTCTCATCCAGGAAGAAGGAGTGAGTGAAGATCTGTGTTGGGAACAGGGCAGCAAGGATCAAAGCAGCCTTACCCAGCAGTCTGAACTGGGAGTCAAGGGCCGTCACAGTGGGAAAGGGGCCTGATCTGAATCACACCAGGTGGGCAAAGACCCCAGGAGACCCCAGAGGGCAGCCCTTGCCACTTCCTCTCCAGGGGTGGGAGAAGACCAGCATCACATCCTATTTGCTGCTGTGGAGGGGGCAGATTTGGCATATGTTGTCGCTGCTACCATGGCAGCAACAGTGGGCATTGTGATCCTCAGAGGTCAGATCAGCCGCTCCTCTGGGTCCGGCTGTCCAGGGCGGTTGCCTCACTTCGCCTCATGAGCAGGCAGTCTCTATTGCCATAGTTAGACCATTGGGAATTGGAAACGCCTTGCTGATCTACAGCAAACCACCCAGAGAGACACAGGAAAGGATCCTGATCAACTTTGAGCCTAACAGCAAGCTGGTAAACAAAATATTAGACATAAACACAAAGTTTCCCACTCATGTTCGGCAGAAGCAACACACAAGAAGGCCAAATCAGTTTGTGCTTTTTCTGTATGAGAGGCGGGAGCAATTCAACTCATGCAGTGAGTTAGTGGTTATTTTCTGAGGTGCAAGAGCTCATCAGGACAGTCCTCACAGCCACACCTCCAAGTAGGGTTACTGGTCACCAAGCAACGGTAGCACAATACATAAGGCTCAATTTATTGAGATTGGATGAGCATCATATAATACTAAGTTGGTTTTATCATGACTTCCTCTACGCTAATATATCACAAGCAATAGCAAAACTTGAAAGCCTCATTATCACTTCACCTACTTGCCTGTTCAAGGAGGATGTAATCCATCAGCTGCTTTGGCAAATGTCATCATTATTCCTGCCCCCATGGCTGGATCCGATGTGCTGACCCTCCTCAACATCACTGAGTCTAGGCCAGCTTCTGCCACTCTGGTGCCCTCTACCCATTCGTAGACTACAGGTCCCATGACTCCTGCCCATTGGCCATGATGGCTGAGACTGATGTGAAGGACCATGGCTCACTGGGTAGGGCATCCCAAGTTAAATTCCTGGCATCTCAAGGGGAAAGTGGGGAAAGGATGCTGCCTGAAGCCCTGGTAGAGCTGCTACCAGTCAGTGTAGGTATCTCAATACTGAGATAGATGGACCAGTGACTTAACTCAGTATAAAGCAGCTGCCTCTATTGCTTTGATGGCAGCTGTCACCCAAAACATCGGCAGGACACCAGATTACATGCACTGAGGCCAACAATATGGAAAGTCCTGCCTTTCCAAATCTTGCATGTAAGTGCACCATACATGCAGCACACATTTCTGCTGATGCATCAGGGAAGACTGAGATCATTGGGGGCAGGCGGTTGACAGCATTTTTGAAATGATGGGGTCAGCTGGCAAAAGCCAGAAGCTGCAGCCTCAAAGAGGCAGTGCCAAAGGATCCTGCAAATAAGCCGGCAGTGCCCTAACTAAATATCCTTTCTCCTCTGAGGCATTGCTGTCGACCCCCCCCCCCCCAAGTGCAAGACAGTGCAGGCACAACCCAGTTTGCCTTGGGAACATTCTCCTAATGGTGCACCACAGCTACGTTTTGGAAAAGCAAGCATCACAATGGCAGTAGGCAGACAAGCATCAGCACAGAGCACACACAGGGGTTAGTATTGCCAGAACCTACAAAGTATTATTTTCTCAGCTGTGGCTTCTACCTCTTGCAAGACTCCAAAAGCACCGCAGTTCACGCATCAGGCAAACACAGGACACATCTTTAATCTCTCAGCTACAACAAAAGGCATTCACAAGGGCACAGAATTGTTGTGAGTCACAGGGGCTTCACTTTGGGAGCCCATACCCATAAACCCATGAATGGGAGCTCACTCCCCATATATAGGAGTATATCAAAATGGCTTGTTCAACCTGCCTGTGCTTAAGGAACGGATGATGCCAGGAATCTTAGCCGGACTGCACAATTTCTGCAAACCCTTCAGAGGTTTTGAAGAGAAGTTACCAAACTTGCACCATAGCAGATTCGAACCTCCTATGCACCTCGAGATGACACAGAAGACCCCACATCCTCTCTTACCTGGAGAACCCTCTTGGTCAAGCCTGTTTTCTGAGCAAGCTGTTTCAAGTCCTTGGCATCTGGATTGTGGTTAATAGCAAAATAAGACTTCATTGTCCGCAATTGGTGGTGTTTGAACGATGTCCTCATGCGCTTCGTTTTCTGGTTGCTGGGGTATTGCTGGTCTCGGTCCAGGTGGTCCCCGTCATTCTCATTGCAGCTCAAAGCTGGGAGGAAACAAGGACGGGGTAGGGGGGGGAGGAGAGCGAGTCATCATAGCTACTGAAGAAGCAAGGCCAGGGCAAGTATTATCAAGCCCTTTCAGTCCCTCCTCTCTTTCTTCTCCATACACTTATAGGGCTACAAGAACCCTCACCTGCACTTTTGCAGTGACAGGTGGCTCTCTCTTTTCTCATCTGCAAAAGCAGAAAAGGCATCTCTGTCCCCCCCCTTCCTCTCCGCATTTCCAGACAGCATGAGAACAACTTTGCAAAAAAATGTTTTAAAGCACTGTCACTCTGCATTGTGCAGCTGCAGACCCACAGCCCGCCACGTCCACTTAACCTTCAAGAGGGGGCGGGAAAAACACATTCAGGCCCTCGGTATTCTTCCCACCAAACTCAGCTCACAGAGCACAAAAGAGACCCTTAAATAAAACACCGTTTAAAGAGGGGAGGGTAGATGGAGAGAGGCTGTGTACACCTGACAGCAAATTCCAGATATAATTTGATATAAAGTTGGGGGTGAGCGGGCAGGGAAGAATTCCAAGGAGGTTTGACTTATACCAAAGACCAAACAGAAGCTGCAAGTAACTATCCACATTTGCACTCCATTAAAAAAAATAAATCAAACTCCCTTGAAGGAATCTGTTGTTTCCTCTCCCCTCCCCCCTCCCCATGTGTTTACTAGAAACAATTTAGATCAAGACTCCCTCTTATGGCTACAAAAATTCACTAATGAAGCTTCCACAAAGAGGCAAAGGAACTTTACAATAATTAACAAATGGAGCTACAATTTGCACAGCAAGCATAATATGCATGCATATTAAAGGTGTTTTTGTTTTTGTTTTTTACATAAAAAATGCATCTACACCTTCCAAGAACGAAGCACAAAAAGTTCCTATTTAAAAATAGCAAACACTCAGAGAAAATTTAGCAGTGCATCTGGTTGTTTGGATATTCTGTCATTAACATGTATTATCAGTGCTTATCAATTTCCCATAAACTAGCTTTTTCAGGTATGTTGAAATAAGAGGGGTTCTCAGGAAGCTTCATTTTATGCTCTCCCTTGACAATTCTTTATCCACTCTATGAAATGACTAAGAAAAAAGGCGGGTGCATCAGATAAATATCTATCCTGAGAGCATTAGAATGTGAATTATTGATCCAGCTGTCAAAACGCATCTGCTTTTGAAATTGTCCATCATCACAGATCCTGTGTACTTCCAACAAGGGTCCAAACCAACACACAACCTTATATCAAATGCAAATTATTTATCCTGCTTAAAATCTACTGATTACACCAGGATTCCCAGAAAGTTAAACGCTGCAACAGATCTGCAGTAATCTCAGTCATGCATGCTCTGCCTTAAGTGGCCTAATGCTCATTAATGATATGGAAAGGCGTTGGAATGCATGCAGAACAGCTGGTTTGCAAGGAATGGCCAGTCTGGGGAGGGTTTCAGTGGTTGGTGTCTACTGCTGCAGGCAAAGGCCCACTGGATAACTCCCCCCCCCCCATAAGAAAGAACACATCCTATCAGAAAATGAAGGGCAACTTTTCTGACGCTTGGCTTCCATTCCCCAAATATATTAAAGCAAAGGTACATGACTGGCAGCCGCCCTCTTCTCATGGACTCCTATGGAAAAACATCATTTGATAATGTAGTTATGAAGGACAAAAGAAATAACATATCATCATCAACAACAACAAAACAACAACAACAAATATTAAATTGATTACTCGTCCTGCACAAGCATGTCCCAAATTGGCTTACAACAATTTAGAATTAAGAACAGTTTAAAAAGATCACAGTGCCAGGAGCAGGGTGGATCCCAAACACGCGCACGGACCCCTCAGATGTCAAATGACAAAGTGAAGAGATGAGGCTTCAACATTCCAGAAACAAAACAAAACAAGACTCTACAGTGAATGTGCCAGACACCTTCTGTGGGGAGGGGGTTCTGCAACTTAGGACCTGCCGCAGAGAAGACCCTCTCCTGGGCACCAGCCCCCTGGAGCTTCTGAGGGCAGTGGAACTGCCAGGAGAGCCCTCTCTGCGCATCTTAATTCCCAAGGGAATCTGTAGGAAAGGAGGTGGCCTCTCATATATTTGGGGAATAAGTCATCTGGGGATTTAAAGATTAGCGTAAACACCTATACACAACGCCAGATCAAACCGCAGAATCTGCTGTCATGGCTCTTAGTCCCCAGATGTAACCCTCAACTACCCTCTGGGAAAGCAAGATAGCCACCTCTCCCTATTTTGCCCACTGAAAAGGTACGCTCTCCCCAAACCCTGAGGTTCCATTCCCAGCTCTCAACCCCAGAAGGCGCAGGAAGGCATGTCCCCATACTGCTTGGCATATCTGGTCTCAGAAAAGAAACCATACAAATGACGGGAGATGGAAGGAAATTTGGCTTTGCTAGCAAAGTTTAGAATCACACAGGATCCTTAGCCTGCTTGATCAATAACCCTGCATAGTTCAAAAGTCTGCAAATTAAAACCTGGTTTTGTTTTGTTCCCCTCAATATACATAACAAGATCTGCACTGGCACATAGGTATTCTTGCGGGAGGCGATGAAATTGTGCATGACCCATGAGGCAAACTTCAATGCAATGTCTGCGCAGTTGCAAATTCTGTGCAATGTTCCTGAAGACAGTGTGGGGGAATGCTCTAAAAGCGGCACTCCAGAGTTCTCTCTTCAACACTGCAAGCAATATTGTGACCATGGAATGCAGCTGTTGGGGTGGGGGCCAGGGCATGTCCTTGAGCTGCCCACACCACCTAAACATACCGCAGCAAAATCCCAGCCTTGTCTGCCTGATGTAAAAGACTAGAAGCTACTTGCAAACATCTTGCATGTGGTGTATTGCATCCAGTACCCTGTTGGACCTTTAAAAATGCTTAGGATTAGTCATAAGAGGGATTGCCTTGCTTATTCCACAGCAGACAAAAAGGAGGTGATTACATGAACAAAACAGAATTTGCTGAGTTAGTCCACGGGGGCAGGGGGGAGACAAATAAAATGCATTTTAAACCTCTGCATAAAAGTACTGTATATATAAGACTGAATTTTGGATTAAAACAAATAAAAAATAGGGGAGATGTGTATCAGAATGACTAAGGATCTTCACCACAGCGAACTGAAATGGATTCCAAACGTCTTTTCCTGAGGCTAGGAGCCTTTTCCACAAAAGAGGCTCCCCTCAGTGTCACATGGCTGATCATTAGTTCCCTGTAACAGAAAGCTTAATTTCCCTTTCACCTGACATTGCTCAAGCAAGCAGCCTGGGATGTGGGAAGCAAGAGGGACGCAGTTGATCTTGCCTTCTGTGAAGGAAATGGGCAAGCAAGCAAGATGCTTATGAGTTCACAATAAATATTGCAATTTCTTCCACCTACGAAAGGAAACATTCCTCCTTCCATTGGGGCAGTATGATTGTCCAGACAACAGTGGGGCTGGAGAACCACTTTGCTGAAGGGGAGAAGGCATATAAATGAACAAGAACCTAGACTGGAAAATCCTGGGGTGGGGTCTTTCCCCCCTCCCACAAAATCATTGTCACTGAGCTCTCCTTGCTGCCACCTCCAAAGGGCTCCCTACTAGGATGACAACCATGTTGTACAGTGTGGGCAGCTGTATGAGTGTGGGGGAGGCAGCCTGGAGCCACAGCTGAAGTCTGCATCCCAGTGTCTGCAGTGCTTCTCCAGCCATTATGTTGAGTTTGTGGAGTATCACACAATGGTCACCAACATTCCTAGGGGGTGGTACTGTCAGCCACACACATGAGCAGCTAGCCCAGTGGTTCCCAAAGTGGGTGAAAGTGCCCCCTAGGGGATAGTGGGATTACCTGGGGGTGCTAATCTGCAGGGGGGTGGCAGGTGGGAGACACTGGATAACTATCAGACTTTGAGAAGTTGGTATCACTGGCTCAAGTTCATCAGTTTTGTTGAATTAATTAAACAAAATAATTTTAATTAGATTTTGAATAAACATGCAATTAATTGTGACAGCCTTGAATTTTGCAATGCTATTGTCTTCCATAGCAAGACGTGCTTTTTCTAGGGTGGCATAGGGGGCACTGGAGACGAGTTTATAGAATCAAGGGGAGTGCCCTCCCCCAAGTTTGGGGGCCACTGAGCTAGCCTTCCCTGGGAGAAGCAAAAGAAGGAATCAAATTCCACATAAAGCCCAAGAGGGGTTGCATATTCTTGGCAAGAAGGGACTTGGTAGCAAGATGGGAAGGACAGCAAAACACAAGAGATTGGATAGATTGACCTGGCAACTCAAACAAGGCTGGATAGAGGTCTCCTTCTGTGTAGAGACCCAGGACTCCCCAGGACTGGGGGCAGAGGTGACTCCCCCCCCCCTTCAGTGGACATTAAATGCTAGCAGAAAAGACCCATTTTAAACCAGCTCCTTCCGTCAAAGTCTGCAAAGGTGACACATCCATGGACTGCTGCATCCTCTCAGAATCCATTCAATCAATTGTTCACTCTGTGTTTAATTGCCAACAAAACACAAGCCATCACGGAGGGAGAATAAGCACACACAGTCACAGACCATCTCAAATCAGCAGGTCCTCAGGAGACCTCCATTCAGAATGGCAAGACTTGGGCCAGAGAGCGGGCAAGTGGAAGCAGAGGTCTTCTGCACAAATCCCCACCACAGCTGACTGCTCTACCCACTAAAGAGTCAGTGTTCCTGACCTGCTTGCACCCTTGAAGAACACAATACCCAGCTGTGCTCCCCACGCACCCTTTGCTTCCCCTCCCCCCTAAAAAAATAATAAACCCAAAAGACCAAGAACTGGTCACTTTTCTACCCAAAGCATCCCCACCAGCCTGCAAAGACAAAGAATTAATGAGGCCTTAGTTTAATCTTGTTCCCAGCGTATAGTTCCAGATGGGCACTTGGCCTGGTGGAAAGTGGGAGGGAGAAGACGAGTCAGCCTGAGCCAAGTTTAGGAGATAAGATTTTCCGGGGGGGAGGGGAAGGGGCACCCATCACCCACCCACCCACTCCTGCACCTGGAAGGTTTGAGCTGAAAACAAAAAACAAGTCAGGCTGTGGATGGGCACTGCAGATCAGAAAAGGAAGACGGTCATTTAGGGATTTAAACTTTTTCAGTAAAATAGATTGAGAGAGAGAGAGAGCAGTGTTAGCACCCATAGCACCCCCTCAACTCACAAGCTTTGCCCAATGTGCTTTGGATTAAGTTGAGCAGGGCACTCTGGAAGCCTGCAGAGTCATCAGCATGACACCTGCAACACCACTTTCACAGGATTGCTCCCAGCTCATCTCTGCTGCTTAAGATAAACATTCTCAACACAAAGTGGCATTGCATAATGAAGGGGTGGGGAGGGGGAACTTTGGCCAGTTTGGGAGTGGGGTTCCTCTGTGGAGATAACATTCCTTTTCCAACAGTGTTGCCACAGGCTCTGGGAACCCAGGCTTTTCTATGGCCAGTCAATGGAAAGCTTGCTTGCAACCCCTGGACAAGAATGTTCTGGGGAGCGGTGGGTCTTGAAAGGCAAGAGGCAACTGGGTTGTGGGGGGAGGCATAACAGAAAGGACTGTGGGAAAGCCTTGCCCCAACTTTAGATATGGCTGCCTGTGGCTTAGTAGGAGCCTGGAAACACACCCAGACAACCCCCCCACACACACACACATACCCCCTACCAAGACAGGAGCATCTGGAACCGCTTGGGGAAACTGAGTTGCAGAACTTGGCTTGGCCTCCGCGGAACAGCCTGCTCTTCACATAGTCCCTCCAATTGCCGCTCCAGCCACTGGTGACCACTCTACTCAGCAGTGTGGCCTAGGCGCTCTGCTCATGTTCATGCCCTCATTTGTCACAAGCCAAGCCTTCCCCCACCTCCCAATTGCTTAGATGTGATTGGCTTCCAGTTCAGGTCCATGCCAATCCCTACTCCCCTGCCAGAGCTACACCCCTGCCCTGCTGCTGGACTCCAAACTCCAATCAGCTGCAGAATGGCCCAAAGCCAATGGGCACTGGGGTCCAACAGCCACCCACATGGCCCCAAGCTCCCCAGCGCTAGTTTAGCGGGAAAGCCCAAAGTGTGGGTGTTGTTGCCCCTCTGATGCACCCCTATACAGAAAGCTCTTGCAGCTTGGCTCCAGCTCAACTCCCTTGGCTGAGAGGCTGTGGTACCCACCCTTTGCAACCCAGAGGTGGCTCCACCATGATGTAACGTCCCACAGCCTCACTGCCACCAGCAAGAGAGCAGTGGCTTTAACCAAAGATTTAGCAAGTTTATGGAGGGGAGATAAATGTGCAAACAGGGAGTGGTTGGATGGTGGGATCTCATAGGCATTGCATTTTAAAGCATGCCAGGTCACTGTAAGCAAAGTCCTTTCAAAAATTGCTTAAAGCAGGCGTGGAATATGGGTCCCAATGCAAAAGACTGGACCTCAACCTCCTATGTCCTCCCCTAACAACACCCCCCGGGGGCCCTCAGCTAAGCATCCTAGAGAGCCATCTAGCTACAATGGTTTCATCATGGTCCCCCTCAAGGGAAGTGGGGGCTCAAACGCAGCCTGACTAGCTAGCCACATTTTTTTCAAGTGAAGACAATTGCATCCAAAGTCCCAAATGACTAAATAGCACCACTGCTGAGCTTTTCTGCAGCTGAAGTCGAGGCGCTGGGTTGAGATGGATCTGGAGAGGTCAGACCCAGAAAGACTGGTATCTTGCTCTCAAGCAGGTAGTGGGGGGAGAGCCAAAGCAAGGTGAGAGTGGGGCCCAGCAACCAACCTGCTGCTCACATTGTGCATATATCTAGTTCACACCATATGAACTAGAGAAGGGGATGTGGCCTTTGTGAAGTACACCCATCTCTCTCACACTACTCATCATCATCATCATCATCATCAACACATGCACTGGCTCCAGTAGAGAGGGGAGGGGGAGGGTCAGCATCAAAGGGGTGGGAGGTTGGGGGATTTTCACCCTTGTGCCCATTTCTCCAGACCCATATATTTTATCCAACTCAGTTTGCATTTTCTGCCAATAACTGAAAGTGGGACACAGAATGTCCAGATTAGTGTGTTGACACACCTGATTAAAACATTTTTGTTTAGGCAAGCCTACCCAGACATGCAGATACTGATACATTTAAATCTCTCCTTAATTTACTCCTGGTTTTATATATATATATATATATATATATATATATATATATATGTATTACTTGTTTGCAACAGTGTTTTATTGATATTCTCAAAGTTTCTTGTGAACCGCTTAGAGGTTTTTGTTACTATTAAGCAGTAATTAAGTAATTAAGCAAGGAACCTAACTGCAAATGATCAGTTGCTACCATGGGCCTGAATTATAGGAAAGGGCCAAGGGCGTGCCAGGACAAGTAGGAGATTTTGGAGGCACCTTTGGGTTCACCCCCCCTCCTTTCTGGCAGACTTCTCCTCCTGCAGCCCCAGCCCCACCCCCACTGAGAAGAAAGTAGCCTCTTGACCAAGGATTGATGTCCTGACTTGTAAGGAAGACCCCTTTGGCTTAATGGGCCTTGCTTCCGAGTAGGCACGTCCCCCCACTTTTAAAAAGGCGTGGTGCCAACCTTACACACTGGCTATAAGAAGGGAAATAGAGAGTGGGAAGATCCTAGCTCCCAGACCCCCCCCCTCAAACCCTGGAAGGTGGGGGGGGAATTGGTCCTGCTTGGGCAGCAGAGGAGGCCCCTCCTGAAAAAGCAGGAGAGCAGCAGCTCTGAATATGGACAGCCCCCCCCCCCCACACACACACTTTGTCACATCTAGATTCCAGAAGAGAGAACATTGGGCAGGAAGCTCTTCCCACACTACAAGTTTCTCAGCTACCTGAAATTGGGGGTGTGGAATTTACAGTCTCAACTCAGTACCTCACCTGGCAAGGTCTGTGCAGAGGGAGGGGTTAATAAGAGTCCCTCCTTAAAAGCCTTACACATCTGGGTAGGGACAGTGAAGAAGCAGCTTTTGTACCCACAGATGCACCCATGCCCTGGTGGAGCCCCCAGTCCACAAGCCCCCTTCCACTCTCCAACAAACCCCTGTCTTATAAAGACATATTATTATGCATTAGGTTTCTTCCTCACTTGTTACCTAAAGTTCCCCCTCGCAACGCATTAAAAATCAATCACAGATACATTATAATATTAAAGAAATATAAAATACCTATCATTCATCAATATCTAAATATCGCATACATGCACGCACACAAAATATCCCCCTTCTCCCTTAAACACATATTTTTGCACGGAAGGGTGAACTCGGGACCACAAAGCGCCCTCGTGTAACAGCTGGGGGAGGGGGGAGGCTGCCGCCGAGAAAGGGTTAGGAGGGGGCTGTTTTTGAAGTCCCGGACGCCTTTCTAAGCCGCTTTCCACTTGTCACAGCCCATCGCGTCTCCAGGACCAGAGCCGCAGGTCCCGCCGCCGCCGCCGCCGCCCCCACGCTGGGAAGGAGAGGCAAAGGCCGCAAGAGACCCGCCGGAAGAAGCTCCAGTTTGCTGGGTAATTTAGGTTCAAAAATACCAAGTTCGGCGCATTGGGGAGATGAGGCGTTCCCAATATTTTGGCGAATAATAATATTGTTATATTTATAAAATATAATAACAATAGTAACAATGGAGGAAAACTGTTAAATCAGAATTTTCTTTTAAAACGAAAGTGATAATGCAAGTCATTTCTTTTGGGTAGGTGTGATGGCCTTTTCAGAAAGAAACTCCATTAGGTTCGGGGTTTTTTGTTCACGTTATATAAGGAAATTTAAACCAAAACGAAACAGCTTTCTAAATTCTCCCTGCTACCGCTTTAGCGTACCAATACTTCGGATCGCAGCCTTTCCCCGCTCCAGCAACCCCTCTCCGCGTTATTTCTGGTCCCGTCGCTTAAAAGGAGCTCAAGAAACATTTCGAAGTTTAGCGGCGGCTGGAAAAGGAGGAAGCGCCTTCGCGGAAACTACCATTCTCTGAAGGAACGCAGGTCTCGGGGTCTCGTTTGTAGAGGAAGAAGGAAGCGAAGCCTTTTCCCCCAGGGATGCCAGCAACTCATTTTAGGAGGTTCCACCCTGCTCCCCCCCCCCCAACCTCTCATATTTGCTCTGCCAGATACAAGAGATTTTCAGGCGCGGAGAAAAGTCCCGGGTTCAAACAGCTCAGAGCGCGCGAAAAGCTTGTTTTGCAGCACCAGCGTTTCATAAGCAGCCCCCTCTGCTTTACAACACCCCCCCCCCCAGAAAAAGAAAAATTAATCCAACATTCTGAGCCCATCCTTTGGCATCATGCCTTTTACTCTGCCAGCCAATCCGAAGTGGCTCCCCGCAGCTGCTTTTTCCCCTACTCCGAAGTCGCGCCCCTTCCCTGAACCATTTTCCGCGCCTCCGGTTTCGGGTTGGGATGCCCCACGCCCTTCCCCGTTCGGCGCAAAAACGGCGCAACTGGGCTTCATCCAGCCACTGCAAAAGCTGAGCAGTCACGCACCCGGCAGCGCGCCCCACTCAACCCCCTCCATAGCACAACCAGAGGGGCTCCAAGGCGCCCCGATTTCCCCCCTCCAAGCACGCGCATTCTAAAAAGGCACCGCTCAGCACCCCCAGCTCCGACCGCCCCGTCGAGCCTCCCGCCACCGCCCGCTCCCTTTACCTGCGTTGTAGGCGGCCAAGTCAGCGCCGGGCCCGGGGCTCTTCCTCTTCCTCGGCCGTCCCTTCTGCACGGTACCCACGCCGTTGTAGTAGGGCAGGCCGAGAGTGGCGGCGGCGCCCAGAGCTGGGCCTTTGCCGGCGGCGCCCTCGCCGTGGCTGAAGTGCAGCTGGTACTCGCCCTGGAGCAGCGCCTCGAAGTGCAGCCGGCAGTAGACCAGGTTGTCCTTCATGCCGAAGTGGTCGCCCGTGGTCAACATTTTGGCGCACGTCGAGCAGGTGAAACAGTTCAAGTGGTAAACCGATTCCCGGGCGCGCATCACCATCTCGGAGGCAGAGATGCCCAAGTGACAACGGGCGCAGCGCTGGACCGAGAATCTCCTGCAGGGAGGTCCAGAAAGAGAGAGGCTCAGGAGCGCGGTGGAGAGGGTCCCTGCTATCTTTAACATATATAGGGCACATGGACAGAACTATAAGGTCCCTTCTCGCGAGGAGCTTACAATCGCAAAGTGCGCTGAGAAACTATTGAGCAACTGAAGCAAGCGGCGTCAACCCCAAACTTCCCGGGAGTTCCAGCGGTCACGCACACTTCACCCCTCCCCTCTCTTCCTACAAGTTATTTTCCACGGGTTTTTTTTCTTTTTTGGAGGGGGGCATCTCTATGGAAAGTCAGGCAGGCCCCAAAGCCATGGGATCCAGTGAGCGGAAGGAAGAGGCGAGTGGTGAAGGGCTTTGCTTGAATGCCCGCTTAGATTTTGACCAGCCCAAACTTATTATGGATGAGGCCCCATTGGAGTGCTCTACCACAGAAACGCAATACTCGCGGCAACCATCCAGGATGCCCGAATTAAGCGGGCCTCGACCCGGCCTAAGCACTCTCTAGCCTGGCAGCCGCCGCCCCCATGCCTCCTCCTCCTCCCCATATTTAGGCAGGAGGCCGTGGGTACTTTCTGTGAGATTCAGGGGGGCTGGGCCTCTTTCTCCATTGAATGGAGGTCTGAGCTCAGGCCATGACACGTCTCTCCAAATGAGAGATTGCCAAATCCGGCTACATTCGGGGCAGTGAACCTAAGAACACAGTAAGAGCGGACTGCTGGATCAGGCCGGTGGGGCGTCTAGTTCAGCATCCTAATCTCACAGTCCCGGACCAGATGCCTCTTCTGCAAAACCCGCAAGCAGGTTCGGACTCCTGCCTTTTCCAGTAACTGGCGTTCAAAAGCATTTACTGGCACGGCTGTGGAGGCACAGGCGCCGCTTAGCCTTCGTGGCTAGTAGCCATCGTGGCTAGTTGTGGTGGTGGTAGACTGAAAGTCGCAGCGGTCCCCGGCCGGGCCTGCCCTGCCTGCCCTGCCCTCCCCCTCCGCCCGGGGGCTTTACCTGTAGTAGTCCTCCTTGCAGTAGATGCTGCCGTCTTTACTGAAGCAGGTGAGCTCCGACTCCAGGTTGAGTTTACACTCGCAGCATTTGAGGCAGCGCATGTGCCATTGCTTGTCCACCGCCAGGAGGTAGTAGCGGTCCGAAATCTTCCCCCCGCAGCCCGCGCACAAGGCGGCCCTCTCGCTGCTGATGGAGGGCATGGCGTGCTGCGGAGGGAGGGAGCAGACAGACAAGAGGCGCGCTGATTAGGGAGCCGGACGCCGAGGAGGCCCGGGCGCGGAGTTCAGCCCCCAGGCCTTTCTCGAGTTCGTCTCCCCTTCCTTGTTGAAGCAAGGGCCGGGGACAGGGGGTCCCACCCCGGGATGGGAAGAGACAGGAGGGGATGGGGGAGTTGTCAGCCACAAAAAGCACCGCTCCCGCCCACTCGCCCAAAGGAAGCGCTCTTGGGGGCCTGGCCCGCGGGAGCTGCCCAGACCAGAAGCCCAGGCTGGGTGGGGGGCGGTGGGGGGGAGAGAGAGAAACTGCGAAGCCAAAGAGCTAAGAGAAAAAGCGCTTCTCTTCCCCCCCACCCCACACGCCTAGAATGAAGCCGCACCTCAGTCCAGGCCCACCAAAACGGCCCCTGGGAGAGAGGGAAGGAGGGAAAGAAGGGATTAGTGAGAAGGAAGCGACCGTTGAACCCGTCCTTTCTCCCGCTCTCAATCTGGATTGTGCCACACCGAGGGAGGGGTGCGAAATGCGGGACGGCGGGGAGAAGAGAAGCAACGCAACGCTAAGGCCGGCGGGGGAGGGCAGGGCTGCAGAGCAGAAGAGGTTTGGCTGCGAAACTGGAAGAAAATAAAAATCTGAGGGTTTAAAAGGAAACGTAATCGACGGACATCGCAGCCCGATCTTAAATCCTTGCAGAATGAAACATAAACAAGCAGTGATTTTAAATTGCATTACATTACTTACGAAAAGAATAAATAAAAATTAGTAGTAAACAAATCTCGGACTGTTTTAAAGGAAGGGGAAAGGAAAAAGAAAAGGTAGTTTCGAAAGCCGCTTTTGCACAAAACACACCCAAGTCTTCCTGAAAGTACTTAGATCCTCAGCCGCTTCGGGCTGCCAGCTGACCTGCGCTTGCTTGGGAGTAAACCCCACTGAGCTCAGTGCGACTTCCTTCAGAGTAAACATGCGCAGAATTTTCAACCCTGGGCTTAAGGCGCAAAGCATTTCGATGCGACATGTGGCGCGATCCTTTGCGTGCCTACTAGGAAGTAAGTCCAAGCGAGCTGAAGCGGGCTTCCTCTCCAGAAGGAATAGGATTGCTGCCTAAGTCCGCGTCTCCTTCCCTATCCCTCTTTAAGTCAAACGAATGAACGAAATGCGTGTTCAAATGCCCAGTCCTCGCCTTCTTGCGCTTGTTACAAAACAAACAAATGTCCGAAGTTTTGTTTCATGTTTCCCCCCCCCAAAAAAATTACAAATTACAAATTGAACCCAGGTGGGTTGTTGTCTTTGTGGAGTCCTTTAGTTCCTTAAACTAATGCGTAAAAATGAGAAGAGACGGGAAAACGGGGGCCGAGGCATCGGGAATTCTTTTAAAACCGCCCCTCTTAAGCAACCCCAGAATTTCGGGCATCAGGACACCCGACGGCTAATTTATCCAATTTCTGAGTTATCCGTTCCACCTTTGAAGAAAAGCATTTTTAAAGAGCAAAACGGAGACCAACACCCAAAAAGAAAACAAAAAAAGAAACCCGATTTTTAAAAAAATAATAATAAAGCAAAGTAATAATTCCCGCTCTATTTCTTTTCCGCTTCGCAAATTCCAAAAATATCCGAAATCAAACCGGGAGGATACAGTGACTAAAAAGGCGACTGCAAATGTCATGTTCTGATTAATATAAATCGGTTCCTCTCCATTTTCAATAAAATCCCAAAATAAAATAAAACACATAAAATAGGTACAAGTATTTATTTATTCTTTCCCAGGCCTGAGCGTGGAAGTGCCAGCCTCGAACCGAGAAGGGTTCAGAGCCGTCGGCCCACCGGAGGCTCCCAGCGCCTCTGGCTCCCCACCCTCGCGACAGTGGGCGAAAGAAGGAAGGCACCGAACGGGTGAGAGGAAAGCACTTTGCTGAATGGTCAGTTTGTTTTAAACTAAAAAACAGGATAAACTAAAAAACGGTCTAATTTCCGCCCCATTAAAAAAAATAAAATAAAGGCCTTTGTCACTTTGAATATCTTGTGCGCAACGAGAATGAATTTAATCTATTTTTATATATTGTTCTTTTTTATAAATAGATAACTATATAGAGATATTACTGACTTTACCTTTTTTTGTTTTAAATGGGGAATCAGAAAGACAGAAGGAAAGAAAGAAAAAGGAAGGAAGAAACATAATTTTAGTAAGCCAAAAAAATGAAAGAAAAAAAAAGAATTTTATTTATCAGCCAAAGCCACTCCCCCTCTTAAAATTATTTCTTAAACGAATGCATTTTATTTATTCACTTGTTCACCCCTTATTGTTAGCTACTCCGAACCCCTGAAACGCAGGATCTTTCCCAGAAAAGCTGCTGCGCTTTTCCTCAGCACCAGAGTGAACCGCCTTGGCAGGATCACTGTTCCCCCGATTTCCCCGATTCGGTTCCCTCCATTGCAAGGGGATTGTTATTATTTAAATGAATGCATATATTATTCTTATTTAAATGAATGCATATATAAAAATGGATGCAATTATATATGTAATTTATATATATAATTGCTCGGCCGTTGGGCAAATCTGGGGTTCCCTTGCCCTCACTTTCCCCAAACATTGGGATCTGGGCCTTCCTGGGTGAACCAGAGGGAAGCCACGGGCGCCTGCCCATCCCCGGAGCAGCGGAGAGCGGGGTCTCCTTCTCGGCGGCCCTACCGTTTCAGTCTCGCCGCGGTCGATGGCGGAGCTGATGGCGGGCGTGTCGCCTTTGGCTCGCCGGTCCATCTCGTCGATGACGCCGTGCATTTCTGAGCCGGCCAGGCTGTGGAAGAGCATGGCAGGGCTGGGCTGGTGGCCGGCGGGCGCCGCTTGGGAGGTCCCGCGCTTCTCCTGCTTGTCCTCCGGCCGCTCCCGTTACTCGCGGTGAGGCCACGCCATGCCTCCAACGCGGCCGCGCCGTCTCGCCTTCGCTTCCTCCTTTCTGCCTGCCTGCCTGCCTGCCTGCCTTCGCGGTTGCTTTCAGTCCCCTGGCGAGGTCGGCTCAGGCCAGGCCAGTCGGCGGATGGAGGGCGGGATGGCGGGGTCGCTGGCTGGCTGGCTGGCTGGCTCAAAGCATCGCTGCTTGCCTGCTTGCCTCCTCGCCCCGGCGCAGCCCCAGGACGCCCGGACGGCGAGAGCTCCCGCCGCGCTTGGGACGAGCGGGCAGCCGGCAGGAGGCCTACGGGCAGCGGCTGGCGCAAAGCTCCTGGACGGGCCGGATCCGCGGCGGGGCCGGCCGGAGCACTTCTCTGCAGGGCAGGCGCAACGGTGGCGGAGGTGGCTGCTCCGGGGACCGAGGCACGGGGGAGGGAGCGAGCGAGCGAGCGAGCAACTGGCGGAGGGGAGGGCCAGGCCGGGCGACCGGGAGGAGGAGGAGGAGGAGCCGCGATCCGGGCAGGAGTCGCTGTAGTCCCAGCCCAGCGCAAGGCTCCGCGCCTTTTCTAGCGTTGCTCTGACATCACGTCGGGCGCGGCGCCCATTGGCTGCTCAGCTCCGGGCCAGGCCCGGCCACCATGTGCTCGCGCGGGCCCGTAGAGGACGGAGGCCGTAGCCGCCGCCGGCCTGATGCGCGCAACCCAGTTGGGCACCTCGAGAGCTCTCTCTCCCTGGCCGCGCCGTCGGGGCCAAGCCCAGCCCGGCTGCGGCTTCAGTCGGAAGCGACCTGGAGTGAGGAGCGGCAGCGCAACGGTAGTCTCCGCGGAAAGATCCTGGTCCGGGTAGAGACCCCCTCCGGCTCCTCCCCGCCACTCCCAGCCCTCCTGGGGAAAGCGGGGGGGAGGAGCTTCCGCCTGGCCCCGTCCTCGCAGGAGGAAGGCGAGAAGTGTCGTACTTTTAGACCCTCCAGAGCAGCCCCCCAGAGGCTCCCGGGATGGAGCGAAGCCGCGCAAGCTGCGCTTTCTATTTCAGCACCCGCGGGGAACGGAACCTGCCACCGCCCAGCAGCGCCCTGAGAGTGATCCTCCAGGGGCCTTTCCCTCTGGGGACAGCTTCCCCAACAGAAAATGATGGGAAGAGGCGGGTGGAGAAAGAGAAGGCGGCAACAAACGTTGCAAGAGGGGTGCAAGCTAACGAATAACTGCTGAGGAAGGAATGGCTCATGGCTGGGGTGCGTGTCTGAAGGCAGCGGCTCAGTGCTATTCGTATGAGCGCAACGACCGTTTTACCAGCGACGTGCCCTTGAAGCGTTCAAGAACTTGCCCTACAGAGTGTAAGCGCAGGTCCCATGAAGCCCCCTTTTGCCCGTTTTCCACACCTCTGAGGGCAGACGTCGCCCACCTGGTGCCCTCCAGGAGTTTTGGACTACAACTCACATCCGCCCCTGCCAGCAGGGCCTGCGGTGCTGGAGCTGGTGGGAGTTGTAGAGCCAAACACATGGAGGCATTAGGTCAGCGAAGAGACAGAGGGTAGTTTAGGGATACCGACTTGTGGGGCACTCTGCTGGCTCTGTTTGTTTCGGATATTTTTGTTTGTTTGTTTGTTTGCTTGCGAACTCGACCTTTCAGAATCCCAGGACTGCCTCCCTAACATTCGTATATTCTTCGTGACTTTTCTTTCCCTCCCCAAGGAAGGCATATATTAAATGTCCCTCTCCTAAAACCGGCGTCCCAAAATGCAGAAGGGGCTGAGGCGAGTTAAAAGGAGGCGCCCCTTAAGCTGGAGTGGGGAAAGAATTGGGTTCCCCACACCATGCCGCTCCTCACACGCACCGATCCCTCCCCCTTTTCACGCGGAGGAGCCCCTTACCAGCTGTTTGAGAAACCCTTTGCTTAAAACTAGGAAGTCAGGAAAAATGAATAAAAACATTGTGGAAGGAAATTATGGAAAGAGAGAGAAGGAGGGACGGAGGAAGGAGATACGAAGCTAATTCTCCACTGGCCCTGTCGTTTTAGCCTTCCCACATGGGTCAGACACGTTCCCAACGGGATTCCGTCCTGATCTCTGACCCTACACATACTTGAGTTGCTTAAATACCCCCTTGGAGGTCTCAAGGCTGGACCCTGCAGCCTCTGCCCTCCCGCCCCCCCCCCCCCCAGGACACGATCCAGACTAGGGGACCTCAATGAAGAGCCCTCAGTGGGTTAAGCAGGCGCTGGGAACTCCGGCACGCCCAGGAGCCTGCCACTGATACCAACCAGTTTTAAAGCGTTTGACTGATCTCTGAGTCTTTTGCCTAGGTGGCAATGAAGTCCGACAAGGAAGGTTGTTGGGGTGGGCGGCCTGTGGGTGTCCAGAAAAGCGGGGTGAAGCAGGCAGTGGCATCACCTGGTCCCTTGGACGTTTCCATTTCCCCTGGGCCATGAAGCCACAGGAACATGGGAAGAGGCTCTGCACAAACTCAGCCATTGGCCCATCTAGCGCGGTATTGTCCACACTGACTGACAGCGGCTGTCCAGGGTTTCAGGCAGGGGACATTACCAGCTGCTCTCCCGGGACTGAAGCTGGGATCTCCTGCCAGCAAGGCCGGTGCTCTGCCACTGAGCAGCACCGGGCCTTTTGGACCTGGGCCGCCTCCGCCGTTTGAGCAGGTGGAATGGATTTAGCTTAGGTGGGCCTGACATAATCTGTAGAAAGGCGGGAGTGGACGGACACCTCCTGCTCGAAACGCGGTGGTGACAACAGCAGCAGCAGCAGCTAAGCTGCAGCCAAACTCTCTGGGCGTTTTGGAAAGCAGCCCAAACTCAAGTGGGTAGAGGCAGACAGAAGGCATCTCCGGTTGGGGCTGAGGAAAGGCGCCTGTCTGGAACGACGGGCAGTCAGGGGCATCAACGCCGGGCTAGGACGACCTGTGCCTTGATCTGGCAAGGTCTGTTCGACAGTGGAACAGACTCGCTCGGAGGAATGGTGGGCTCTCCTCCATTGGGAATTTCAAGCAAAGGATGGGTTGCCATCTGGATGCTTCATGCATGCTTTAGTTGAGATTCCTGCATTGCAGGGGGTTGGGCTAGACGACCCCCAAGGCCCCTTCCCACTCTACAGTTCTGCGCTTCTAAGGCAGCTGCCCTCTGTTCTTGCCTGGGAGTTGTGTCGATTTGCTAGATGCTCGCGCGCGTTATGTGTCCGGGGAGCAGCGCATCCCGAGGAACCGTGGACCGGCTCCGGAGCGCCCAGTGCGCAAAGCCTGCTACATCGAGTCCCTCCAAGCAGGGCAGGGTCCCGGCCTCAGGCCCCGCTAACGATCTCAGAGGGACTGGAGTCTATATTTTATGTAATTAGATTGATTTAATGCCTGGAAACAGCAACACAAGGGCTATAATTTAAGAGGGATGAGGGGCCCCCGAAAGCCCTCCTCTCCCCCCACCAGCTCCCTCTCCCACCCACCCCTCACTCTCATTATCTGCTTAAGTGAAGTGCGAGCACAAGAAGAGACACCCAGCGTGGAAAGGATGGATTGTAAGCACGCCGGATGCCTGGCAAGATCGCTCCTGACATCCCAGCGCCACGCTCACATCACTCGGGACCAGAGCAGCAGCAGCAGCGCCACCAGCAAAAATCTATTAATGGTTGTTGTTGTTTTTATTAGTATTGTTTTTATTACTACTACTACTACTACTACTATTATTTCAAATACCTTTTTTCCAAGGGGAGCCCCTCCTCAGACAGCCACCCCTCCACCTGGTGGGAGGCGACAGGTGAGCGCCCGCCCGGCCCAGCCAGGGCCATCTGCCGCCTGGCAGTCCCCAAACGCCAGGCCCGCTCCCGCGACAGAAGCCAGACAAAGGGAGGGTTCCACCGAGGGAGGCGGAAGACCCTGCTAATTGCCGGGTTTCAGGTGGTCCCTCCGTCTGTCTGTCTGCTTGCCTGGGATGCCAAAGGGAATCGGGGCAGGGAGGAGACCCCCGGGGCCCCCTCCCATTCTCCCAGCCTAGGCAGCGGCTTACAAGGGGAGGCAGCTCCCTGGCACAAACCCTAACTCCGGATTGAAAGCGGACTGTGGAGTCAGCTCCGGTTTCTCCGCTGCGGTGATAGGCCCGTTGTACGCCCAGACCCAGCAAGGCAGTGAGGGGACATCGCGTGTCAATGGGGGGGTCATCTCGGCAGGCCCCGGATAACTGGGCGCCAAGCTCCCATGTCAGGGAAACGGGGGAAAGGCGGGTGCGCAGAAGCCCGCGAGGTGCCCAAAGGCCTCGAAGGGGGACTCTCAGCTCTCGCTTCCCGGACCAGCGCCTAGCAGACGCCAGGCAGCTGCAGCGCTGAGTTTCCTCGTCTCCAGTTAGGTGTTTTGGCCCTTTTGTGTAAGAGAGTTCTTAAATGCTTTTAATGATAACCATAACAGCAACAGCAGCAACAATAACAAAAATAATTTACCCTACATCCGAACGAAACAGTTTTGTGCTAGGAGCGGCCCGAATGTAAGGCAGGTTGTGAAGAAGAAGAAGAAGAAGAAGAAGAAGAAGAAGAAGAAGAAGAAGAAGAAGAAGAAGAAGAAGAAGTTAAGGTTAATAATAAGGAAGGTTAAGATCTTCCTCTCGCCTCTTCTTCCTTCCTTCCTCTAACCCCTCCCTCCCCCCCCCCCCTGCTCTGCACAAAGTTTCTTTTTCCACCAGGGTAAGATTCGGCTATGGAGGAGAAGGGTCCTTCCCGCCCCACTCGCAGGAGTAAATTGAGACAATAACCAAGAGCGTCTCTCCTTTTCCATTTTTGCAAACAGGATAACAGCTCGCGAATGAAATGGAAGCCGTAATTCGGCGTGGAAACGCCCAGGCTGCTGCTAATGAATGGACGAATGAATTACAAACAAGGTGCTAAATCGTATAGGTCGGTTGCGTGGCTTCTATCCCAGGAGGAAGTTTATTCTGGAGGAGCGCAGGGTCGAATCCTGCTCTGCAGCCGCCTCCATCCCAGCCCGCCCAGCTTCGCCTTCCTTGTGCAACACTCTCCCCCCCCCCCCCCAGCCAATCGTGTGTCCTAGTCGGTGAAGAACACGACATTTTAGGGCGATTTGAAAAGCTGTCAGTCATCGCTAAATCAGCTCGGATCGTCCTCCATCCTGCGCCGATAAATTAGGTACAGTAATTAGATGCCAGGAGGAGGTCGAGGAAGGCCGAGGGCCTGGAGTCGAGCCATCAGGAAAAGAAGGGGCTCAGCAGCCAGTGAGGCAGGCAGGATGAGGCCCCGGGACAGAAAGGGAGGAGGGGGTGTCCTGGCAGGGCTTCTAGAAGTCCAGGGCTTTTAAAGAAGCGCCCCTCCCAACACACACACCGCCTCCCTCCCTCCCTGCCTGCCTCTTTTTCTCCAAGTGTCAAAGAGGGAAGAGAAATCTTCACCACACGAGTCTCTCTAGGGTCCTGTTAAATGCACTGAACTTAAAACAGAACAAGACACGTGAAATATGGGTTTTGAGCGTGCAATGTCAGAAGCGTAAAAAGGTTGGAAGTCTTTCTCTCTTCCCTCCTCCCCCCCTTTTTTTTTAAAAAAAGCAACGGGTATTATTAATATTGTATAAAATGCAACTGGAGCACAGAAAAAAGCGGGGGGGGGGAGAGAAAAGAGCTGGATCTGTGGGGAAGAGGAGACCGGTTTCCTGTTCGGGTTTACTGAGGTTCTGCGTGTGTCTGTTTCTGTCTGGAAGCTGCGCTTTTGCTCCAGGTGGGTCAGCCCTTCCCCAGAGGAGGGCAGCCGGGCCGGCCGGGCGTCTGGCGTGGGCTTTAAGCTTTTGCCAAAGGGATGGCAAAAATGTTCAATTTTAAAATTACTGTTATTAGTATTATTATTATTGCAGAAGTAGCTGGATGGTAGAACATCTGCCTCGCACACAGAAGGGCCCCATGTTCAGTCCGCAATGGCATCCCTACCTAGGGCTGGGAAAGACCTCAGCCTGCAACAGGGGTGCCAACTTGAATAAAATATTGGGGGGGGGGGGGAGAGAAGCCCCGCCCCGCATAATCGATCACATGACTGGGCACATCCACACTGAATGGCAATGCCCATCAATGGGGGGGGGGCTTTACTGGGGGGAGGGGGCGAAGGGACCTCCGCCCCTAGAAGTTGGCTTTTATGCCCTGGAATCCTGGAGAGTGACTGCTGTCAGTCCGTGTAGACAATACTGGGCTAGATGGACCAATGGAGAAAGGCGAAAGAAATTGGAAAGAAGGGGGCAACGGATCGGTGCCTTCTGCAAAAGAAAGGGAGATATGGATTCCTGGGGAAGAGAAGGCAAAAAAAAAAGAAAAGAAAAAAAGAGCTTAGGTGGGATTGTGCGTGTTCCCGATACTTGTAGCACAGCTAATTTTAAAATAAATAAATAAGTCAGCAAAAATCAACAACATTCCCACCCTCTCTGGTCAGACGCGAGTAGCCCCGGCAGAGAGAGAAGGAGGCAGGTCCGTGGGCCGATTCAGCTGCTCCGCGACTGCTGCCCCGCGGAGGAGCCTCGCTAGCGGAATCCGCAGGAGACCTTTAGGGTCTCGTTGGGCTGCCGTCCGGTTTCACAGCACCCCCTTTCCCTCCCCTCTAAGGGCCGCAGTCGAGACTGATCAGTGCAGAGACAAATCTGCAGAGGATTTAAAACGCATTGTCTCGTAAGGCAGCCCGCGCTGCTGGGATCCAGGAGGAAGAGGTGCGTTGGGGATGGGGCTGTGCGCCCCCCCCCCGTTTGGCTCTCCTTTACAAAGCAGCCGAAAGAAGCTGCTCGCCCAAGCCTCTGCCTCAGCCCCGAGCGGACAGGGGGGTGGGGGGTGGGGGCTAAAGGGAGAATCGCCTTCCTCTCCTCATCCCTCTCCTCCCGTCCCCCTCTATCCCAGGCCCCACCGGGCTTCTCCATCCTGACAGTGGGGCACCCTCTCTCTGCTTTCTCCACCTGGCTGCCAACCTAACCCAACCTTAGAATTAAAAAATGAATAAAATAAATAAATTTACGAGTTCCGCGTGAACCAATAGGAGAGGTCCGGAGGGCTGGGGCTCGGTTTTGGGTGGCTGGTGGGCTGCGTAAATATTGTGGCACAAGGAGGTGGGGGGGTGAGGGGGCGGGAAGCGGCCCTTCGGCAGAAGCCTAGGCAGGCAGGCAGGGGCTAGACAGACAGATGCCTGCCTGCATCCAGGTACGAGAGAAGAAGGACAGAGAGGCAGGACAGCTTCCAGATGTAAAGCCGGCAAATGGAAGGCCAGTGGGCGTCCGGGAAGAGGTCTTCTTTCGGTGGCCGAAGGGCAAATGTCAGGGCCGGCAATGGCGGAAGGGTCTTGGCCCAGGATCCATCTGGGGCGAGGGTTGCAGGATTAGGTGGAGGGGGCGGCGGACAGGGGGTCGCTGCTGCGCTTTCACTTCTCCTGAACGAGCTGGAGGAGCACCGGCCCCAGTCCGCAAGGTCTCCTGCGCAAACCTTATTGACAAAATAAATGGAGGGGGGGGGCCACACAAATATACCCCTCTCTCATCTCCTTTATTCCTTTTCTCCTGACACCCTTTTATTAGGGTGCGTTTTCCCTCGTGGATCTCTAAGCAGAAGCTTTGTTCACCCTTCCTGTCGGTTTATTTACATATATTTTAGATATAAAGCAATATTTCTGTTTGTTCTTCGTTTTCGTTTGGCTGCGGAATCACGATTATAGCCCTCAGTTCGGAACAAATAAAACCCAATATCGAGATGTTAAATGACATGATTGGTTTAGAAGGATTTTTACCATTACAAATAACATTTTGTTTTGTTTTCGCCCCTCTTCCCCCCGCCCGACAATCATATAAATTATCACCCCCGTTTTCTGTCGAAGAGGGGGCTCTTATCGAAGGTCCTCCTCTGTCGCCTTCAGCCGAGAAACCTCGCGGGGGGGGGGGACGGAAGGCGAAGGCCGCCTGGGTGGGAAGGGGAGGCTCTGGCCCCGCAGGCGGGTTGATGGGGATGGGGTCAACAACTGCATTGGGCCGAGTGAGTCCAGGCTCGCCCCACCCCCGCCACGCACTACCTTTTCTAGCCCACGCTGCCCACTCTCGATTTAATGCACTGAAATTGCGGGCCAAAAGACGCCAGCCGATCCAGGACATCTTCCCCGATTCCCTTCCATTATTTCTCTCTCTCTCTCTCTCTCCCAAGATCACCTGGTCACTGCATATTTATTCTCCATTTCCCCCAAACTGCCCTAATTGGAGCCTTCACCCTTTACAAACCGGTCGCTGATCCACCCTGCCCCAACTTCGCTTGTTCCTCTACGTCACACTCGCCGCCCTCCAACCATCCGTCCCAGCGATACCAGCAGCGTCTCTCCATCAGGAGCCCAGGAGCCTTCGACGGCAGTGCAGGATCGCCCCCCAGGACTGGGGAGGGGGCAACCCGAAGGAAAAATATTGCCGAGGCAACGAGGGACCGAGTTGCCAGAGATCTTTTCAGGGAGCGCAGTTTCCCACCCCCGCCACCTCTCTCTCTCTCTCTGCTCCCCGCACCCCAGGTTCTGACGCTGGCCCAGCGCGCTCACTTCTGTCTCGCAAGGAGCAATTAGTGGCTCTTTTAATTAATGAGCCATCCTCCGAACGGCGCAAAAACAGTTCTGGCAGCCACCGGTTCCTTCCGCTTAAACGGAGGCGAAGAGCTGCTCAAAGATGAGAAACAGGAGACTGAGAAGGCGAAGGGAGAAGAGGAGCCGGCCAAGGTGGGAGCCGCCACGTGGACCTTCGCGCGCCTGGGTCCGTCTCCGCGGCGAAGAAGGCCGGGCCAGGCTGTGGCAAGAGAGAGTGAAAAGGGGAGGGGGCCGGCTGCGCGGCGCGTTGACAAGCCTCCCCGGGGAAGGGGCCTCCCTGAGCGCAGCAGGCTGATGGAGACTCCTCCTGCCCCGGGGTCGGAACCTTCTCGTCGAGGCCGGCAGGAACTGCTGGGTTTGGGAGCCGAAAGAACAACGCGGGAAGGGCTTTCTCGGAGTAGGGGAAAGCGGTCTGGATCCAGCCCGCCCCTCCCGCGTTTCTTCACTGCCAGCTTCTCTCCCACCCACTGAAGTTATTTCAAAAATGATCTCTCTCTCCCTCTCTCTATCTCTTTCTCTCCGGTGAAGAAGGGAGCAAAAGATGCTTTTCCGCAGGGGCTTTCGTCAGAAATATTGTTTTCAGCCCCCTGCCCCCCGCGGCTCAGGAACTAACGAACGCGCGCGCACGCTCCGTCCCGAGCACAAGCGATGCACAGCCTCCTCGGGCGGCTGCTGCGGGGGAACCATCCCGAGTTGCGATCTCCTCCTGCGAGGTGGGAGAGTTATTCGAGAGAGCGCCCCCCACTTCCCGACACGCGCCCTGCCCTTTTCACACAACCACACGGGCGCCTTCCTCTAGGTTCGTGGTCGGCGGGCCCACTGCCCAGTCAACCCTTCCTCTCCCGACGCAGGTCCTCTTCTCACAGGCCACCCAGATAGGAGCCAACTCCTAGGGGCCGAGATCCCTTTGCCCCCTCAGCAAAATATTTGAGGACCCCCCCCAAAAAAAAAGTTAATGGGCATTAGGATTGAAATAGTGGGTGTGTGCAGTGCCATGTGATTGATTATGCGAGGCGGAGCTTACCTGCCCCCCCCCCCATTTCATTCAAGTTGGCACCCCGGCTTCTTAGAC